AAATTGATTATTTAAAAAAATGTTTTTTTTTAATTCTTTGGACGAATTCAATTATTTACAAAAATGTTAGAATTTTTCAAAAGAATTCAATTATTTTCAAATATTTTAATATAATTGTTCGAAAGAAATCAATTACTTTAAATACAATTTTCAATAAATTTTTTGCAAATAATTCAATTATTCTTTTAGATTTTAATAATATTCTTCCCAACAATTCAATTATTTACATAAATAATATTCTTCGAAAGAATTTAATTATTAAAGATAAATAACAAAATTATTTCTAAGAATTCAATTATTTACATAAATAATTCTTCGAAAGAATTTAATTATTAAAGATAAATAACAAAATTATTTCTAAAAATTCAATTATTTTGAGGCATTTGAAGAAAATTCTTTGCAAAATTCAATTATTTACATAAATAACAATATTTATCACAAGAATTCAATTACTTTCAAAGTATTATACATTTTTTCTTCGAAATTCAATTATTTAAAAAAATTCTAATAATATTTTTTGCAATAATTCAATTATTTTCAAAATTATTAAAATTCTTCTCAAGAATTCAATTATTTTTGAAAATTTTAATGAAATTATTTGCAACTATTCAATTATTTTCATAAATATTAAAATTCATTGCAGGATTTCAATTATTTTTAATACAATTTTATAGGAACTGCTTAAAAATGGAAATATTCTTAAAAATTTAATTTCAATTCCTCGTAAAAATCAATTATTTAAAAAAAAATTTTTTTTTAAATTCTTTGGAAGAATTTAATTATTTACAAAAATAACAAAATTTTTTGCAGAAATTCAATTCTTTTTAAACGTTTTAATAAAATTTTTTGCAATAATTCAATTATTTTCATAAATAATAAAATTCATTGCAAAATTCAATTATATTAAAAAATTCTAATAAAATCGTTCTCAACAATTCAATTATTTTTAATCCAATTTTAAAGAAATTCCTAAAAAATGTAATTTTTCTTAAAAATTTAATTTTAATTCCTGGAAAAAATCAATTATTTAAAAAAAATGATGTTTATTAATTCTTTGGAAGAATTCATATATTTACAAAAATATTGGAATTTTTTTTACAGGTATTCAATTATTTCCACAAATAAAGTTCTTCACAAAAATTCAATTATTTAAAATAAAATTTTCATAATATTTATTATAATTCGAAAATATTAATTATTTAAAACAATGTTTTAAAATTCTTATGAAGAATTCAATTATTTTTAAAAATAACATTTTTTTCACAGAAATTGAATTCTTTTTAAACATTTTAATAAATTTTTTTGCAATAATTCAATTATTTTCATAAAAATAATAAAATTCATCGATGAATTTCAATTATTTTTGAAAAATTTAATAAAATTCTTAGCAACTATTCAATTATTTTTATAAATAATAAAATACATCGCAGGATTTCAATTATTTTTAATACAATTTTACTGGAATTAATCAAAAAATGTAATTATTCTTGAAAACTTAATTTCAATTCTCGAAAAAATCAATTATTTAAAAAAATGTTTTTTTAAAATTCTTCGAAAGAATTCAATTATATATCGATAAATAACAAAATTATTCCAGAAAATTAAATTATTTTCATAAATAACAATATTCATCACAAGAATTCAATTATTTTCGAAAGTAATAAAATTCAAATATAGTTTCAAAAATTTTAATAAAATTTATTGCAGAAATTCAATTATTTTTAAAAAATCTAAACGAAATTGTTTTCAACGTTTCAATTATAATTGAAATATTATAAATGAATAGCAAAATTTTTCGTCAAAATTCAATTATTTTCATAAATAACAATATTCATCACAAGAATTCAATTATTTTCAAAATTAATTAATTTTTTCTTGAAAATTCAATTACTTTAAAAAATTCCTATCACAAAATTAACTAAACGTAAAACGAGACGTATAAAATTATAAATAAATGTTAATTACAAAAATGGGACAAAATGTGTTATTCTTAAAAAATTATAAAATATTGTTCTCATTTCATAATTTTAATTACTATTCTTGTTTTAAATTTTTCAAAGAAAAACGTATATTCAGCAAAGAACAAAAAAAAATAAATACATTGTGAATAGCCCAGTGGAAAGTTCTAAATAGTTTTGCGTGAAACAAAAGATGACCGCCCGTCCCATTTTTGTCCCCGAGAATTATTGTTTTTCTCCTCTAAGGGCAATTCCTTGAGGATCCCTTTAAGTGTCAGGCGCCGGATGAAATATTATTCTCGAACAGAATAACCCAACGTGTAATATATATATATATATATATATATATATATATATATAAGAACAATTGTTTCCGATTGTTTTCAAAAAAAAATTTCTCTTTTGGACCAGTCACTCTCTGGGGTGTCTATGTCTTGCGGCTTAACGGACATCCCAATAGAGAAATACCGTCGCATCCTCGGGGAAATTCTTCCTGATGACCAATTATTAATATTATCCGCCAATTGTAAGAAAAAATCCTCCTCCTTTTTTAACAGAATTCTATTTCTATAATTAAGAATTTGTAAAGTAATTAAACTTTAACAAAATTTATAATTAAACATTATTACCATAAGGATTTTTACCAGTTTGGACCCTTAATAATTCCCTTAATTAATCATTAAACTTTAACAAAATTTATAATTAAACATTATTAACATTAAGGATTTTTACCAGTTTGGACCCTTAATAATTCCCAGAAAAATTGATCGAATATCAATTTATTTATCAGTGAAATATATTTTCAATCAAAATTTTTCTTATATGTTATATATATGTTATTTGAGGATACTAGAAGAAGAGATAAATAAAAATCAACGAAAATGATTGATTTTAGACAATTTTTTACTTCTGGTTATATATGAAGAGAAAAAAGTTATTAATTACTCTAATTTAGAAAAAGTAGGGGAGGGGGGAGTTGTCGTTTGAGAAATAAGAAAAATGGAAGCTCGCTCTGATTGAACCCAAAATGACCTTGAAGCACCGTTTAGTGTACAACGGGGTCCAAATACCAGAAATACCAAGGGTCTGTGGAATGTTCATGATGGTATTCGAACCAATCCCAAAAATTGGGACCCACCAGATAATGACTAGGAAGTGCAGAGGCGTGGTAATGAAGGTCCGATCATGGGCCTCCAGCCCCTACATCTTGCTACGCTTTTGCTACCTTCGCTTCTTCGATAGGTGTATATATATATATATATATATATTGAGTCGAGTTATCTACTCTGCCTATCGAGAAATGAGTCCCAGTCTTCGGGGGCCCTACTACCACCACCACTTTAGAATTCTAGCAATGTTAAAGATTGATAAATTACGGTTCAGATATCGGCACCTCCTCCTGTCTGTTCGCCAATGTGTCTTCTCTCTTTCGTTTCAAATCCACAGGGACATTGCATTGCTCTTTTTCTATGTTATATTCTTTCGTCATCAACAACTCACAATTATAATAAAGTGGTGCACATGAAATATTTTCTATCTCATATGAAATTTTTATTATTTTTTTTAGATTCAATTGAATTGAATTTAAAAATAAAATAATAAAAATTTAATATTAATAAAATTTATAAAATTTATAATATCTATATTATATATATAATATCATGAATTTTATATATTATATATATATATATACACGAGGCATATAAATACCTCGTTAAGAGATTTTTTGGTCCAACCCCCGTTCTCAATCATCATCATCATCATCGTATAACGACAGGCAAATTTCTCCGCCTTCACTTTAAAAAAAAATGTCCACACCCCCTGCACATTAATTTTCTATTATAATATAACAAATAATATAACTAGTGTCAAAAAATTGATTGTTCTCCTTTTATAATATATAAAAGGAGTTAAAAAAAATCTTTTTTTTTCTCTTCTCCTTCCCTTTTTTCTCTCTGAATTGAAAATGATGATGGAACGTTTAGCGTGGCGCATAGGAGGTCGTATTCCGACCCCTATAGATATATTTCGGTCAACGAAGATTGATTAATAGACTAGTGTCGAACGTATATTACTGACACGCGATCGTTAAATATTTTCATATATAATGGTATTCTTATCAAACGTATTATTATTATTTAATTATCGCTCTTAAATAATTTTCGTTTGCAACCTATAAAGAGTAAACCACACACTTTCGAAACATATACAATATGGCACGGACCTTTAAAATTAACCTTTTCGCTGTGGGTGGGAATAATATCTTAAATGTGGATTCAATATGTTAAGAAATTTTTACACAATTAAAATTTTTTAAAGTGTCTTTCTCGGGGTTTTTTTCTATCTTGATTGAAAAAAATTCAAGATGGCGGATCCAATATGGTGGACACATTTTTTTAATTCATCAGATTCGCTTAATATTCGTTATACTAGGGGGTTTTTAGGATCACTGATCACTGTCTCTATTTTTAAAAAATTCAAAATGTCAGATTTTTTTAAGTCATGAAATTTTCTTAAAACTCGTTATTTGGGGGGGGGGGGGTTTGAGGCCCCTGATTAAGATTTAGACAAAATTTTATACTTAATTTTCTTTTGTTTTAATAAAAAAATTAATAATTTCAAGAATTACTCTAACGGTTATTTTCTGAAACCTTTAACCAATTCGGTAAATAATAGTCGATAAGTTACCAACCAATGGTAATAGATAGAACTTCTTTCACTCTGAAAGGTAACTTACCAACAGTGTCCTCCAGCTCTGTGGGTAAAAAAAGAAAAGTAAAAAATTCCTACTATATCCAAGTACGGAAATTAAAAAAATAAAATGTTGAACTTTCTGTAAATAAACTGAATAATTTATTTTCAGTAAAAAATAATTTGTGGAATTATCGGTGTGCATTATTTAAAATTAAAGAGTAAAGATTTTTGTTTTTTTAAATTAAAAACTTGGTTTAATAACAATAAAAATACAATTATTGAAGACAAATAAAAAATTTATTACGGTAAAATACAAGTATTTATTTTACTTTTACATATGTTATAAATATTAGAATGCTTTACTGAAACCAAAAAAATTAACATTTTTGATTCAATGAGACGTGATATTTAAAGGAAAAGATTTAAGTCGTAACGTTGTCGTCATTTTCTTCTTCCGACGCATTACTTGATTCGAGTGAATTATCATCGCGTTTGGGATTTTTTATACGCGCTTGATTGCAAACATTTGATACAAAAGTAAGAAATTTGCCTCTTTGCATTTTTGGTGCAGCGTACAAGTTCACGTATTCTGTAATTAAAATTTTTTTTTAAATTTCTTATTAGGCATAAGAATTAATAGCGTCGTTATACTTTGTTGTTTTCTTACCAAAAATAAAATTTAAAATATTCTCAGGTATAGGTTTAAGCTTCCTTTTTTTTGAGATTTTTTTTATACACATATTTTGCAAATTTCTTTCGCCTAAAATAATTTTTAACAACTGTCTTGCCATTCGCGTGTAATGATTACGAAATTTATTTGTAATGTCGTTTAAAACTTTTGCGTCTACATTAATGTGAAATTTCTCTAATAGTTTCACCTATATAAAACAGAGAAATATCGATGAAAAGTTTGAAGCACGTCTGGATTTAGTTGTACAATTTTTCAACACTGACAAAAAAATTTATTTATAAGGGTTTCAATCCTTTTTTTAAAAAAAAACATAACATAATGGTACATAAAAGGTTAATAGAAGTATTCAAGATTTAAAAACCTGCGATAAAAATAAATCATCTTCGGTCCATTTAGAATCTAGAAAATTAGAATAAGAATTAGAATATGCCATCAACTTTCAAGAAACTGAATCATACCTCCAATAAGTGTTCTTTTTTTATTGTCATTGCGTATTCTAGCGCATAATTGCTTCAGTGTTGATAAAAATGTTGAATTATTAATTGCTGATGTGGCATGTTCGTTCACATATTCTGAAATAGATTTACCGAACTTATGTTTAAATATATATAAGTGTATACCTCCGCATAAAAAGGGACCACTTTTGGCACAATTGCAAAAAAATTTACAAAGTCATAGAGATTCAAAGTTTGAAATACCAAAAACATAATTTAGATAAAAGGGATCCCTTTTCGTACGGATGTACATTATATGGTTATTAATAAACTATGATTTTTTCTTGTGAAAAATTTACCTAAAACAAAATTTTGAACATTCTCAGGTATAATAGTATACATTCTGTTAACTTTATTTCCTAGATTTGGTGACATGTTTTGTAACATATTTTTACCCAAGATCATTATCATTAATTGTGTTGTCATTTTTGCTGGATTATCAATAAATTTCTTCGTAATGAGAGTTAAATTTTCGATATTTGCATCAATGTTCCACTTCTGTAATAGTTTAACCTATATCCAAGAAAGATTTATTATAATATTATACTTATATAGAAAATTATATGTACACTACAAAAATATTTAGGAATAAGATATATGTATTTCTCGAATTCTTCTTGTAACTATAAAGATATTGTATATTATAAAAATATTGAAGATAGAAACCTGCGTAGAATTTAAAGTGTCTCCATCTTCTGACTGTTCAAAATCTAGAAATTTTTTTTTAAATTTTAGTTATAAGTTAAAAAATGAAATAAATTAAATACTGTGATGTAATCTAAATTCTTAGAAAAACTTTGTAACTAGAAGTAATAAAAATACTTATTAAGTTAGTTGTTTGTAAATATTTAACACACCAAGCATAAATTCATCCAATATATTCTCTATAACAAAAATACATATAACTATAAACATTAAAATTAAATTTTCGGCTATACTCTATTACAGTACAGATGGTAATTGTGCGACTCCTACTTTTTTCAATGACAATTAAATAACTTTTAACTTGAAAAATATAACTAAAAATTTTTCCTTTTTTATAAGCGAAAATTTAGCGTGAAACTTTCTTGAAAATTTAAATTAAATTTTCGCGTATATAAATTTAGGCGAAAAATTTGTTTAAATCAGGAAACCTATCCGCTAAACATTTATTGAAATGGGACATTTTAATCTTTATACACAATTTGCAAGTAAATCTTTAATACATTTTTATGAAATAATAATTAAAAACTTGTTAATGAAGGAGTTACTTATAGAATATATCATACCAATTCCGTACATTTCCAGTTCATCTAATACAATACAAAGTGATTAATAACATTTTATAAATATTGTTTACTAATTTATTGATGAAACATATATATATAAATACATACCTCTACTAAAGTTAGGTAATTCGTCTATAACAAGTAAATAAAATTATCAAAAACTAATTAATCAAAGGGGGAGTTTTAAAAAAACTGTAGCATACCTATCATAATAAGCTCTGTGCTTTTCCTTCGTACTGTAATAAATTTATACTTAACAAAATTGAAATCAATAAAATTAAACAATAAACAATAATAGAATTATAAGACAAGATAATTAATTGAAAGGAATGAACATGAGAAATAAAAATTATCAAAATAAATGCAAAATTAAAATATATTCATAAATAAACAGTCGTTTTGACTCGAGTCAAATAAAAATCAATTTAAATTTACAATTTTATGCCCACGTTAAAATTACACATACATACACACATTCACCACACAAGTCAAATTATCAATACAATTTAGGACAAAAATATAATAAACAAAATTGAGTCGATTAAAACAAATAGATTAGAAATTAAGAAATTCATGAAAAAAAAACATACTAAACAGAAGAAAATATAAAATACTCATCAGACTTCGATCTCAGGGGGAATATCGGCAGCGGCGTGGATGCGGAGAAACGGCGTCGTCCGGAATTCTATTGAGGATTTGAGGTCTCAATGTTTCCTCCTTTTTCCTCTAAATGAATCCTTTCCGTATTTTTTTAGCCCGGAAAGAAGTTAGTTATATTAGCTTCAATTTACTCCCAAACGATCGTCCGTGTGACTTTTCCCGCCTATTCAATCCAAACGACGCTCCAACAATTTTCCGCCCATTTACAAATTAACGCCACACTATAAATTTTAAAATGTTTTATAATCTTCAAAAATTATTATAAAAAAAAAAAACAAACACTAGTAAAAGGAAAATTTATCAAAGAAATTTTACTACACCAAAAAAATGAAAGCACTCTTTACCTTGAGGTCTACGGCATCGGACTTCAAAGTATGGCGCGGAAAATCCCCTTTACGAGAACCAAGTGCAAATGAGGCCCAAAATCACGCGGACGATCATTTTACTATCTCGCCAAAAGTCCCCCCAAAAGGTCCGCTTCTCCGAATCCAGCCGCGTTTCCCCGAATTGCAATAATTTCTCCTTATTTACTTGAGTGTCAGGCAATTGCCAATTAACAGGCGCAACATTTTCAAACAATTTTATACAATCAAAGAATTTCCTTTCATTATCCCCCTTGTTTCAGGTAAATCTTATTCTTTAACGGAAACACGCTCACAATATAAACAACGAACGTCAATTATCACCCACATTACAATTGCAGTTAATCGAACATACAAAAGAAATCGAAAGAAACAAAAAAAAATTTCTGTTTTTTTTTTTTTTTTTTATATATATACATCGATGATAAACAATTACAACGACATGAATAATATATAATCATAATTATCTCAAATATTTACAATTTACATAATTATTATGTTCCTCGATTGCGATCACGCGTATACAAACAAAAACTTTTCTTTCATCTTTTCATACATAAAAGGAATAATACGAAAGGCGATACGGGCATTCATTCAGAACGAATTAATCAGTATCCCTTTGTATATATTTTTTTAAGTTGGCTCGATTATGGTTACCGATAATACGACCACTTTTTAAATCCATCAGTTCATAGGCATTGTTACCAAAATCTCTCTCAATTTTATAAGGACCAAAATACAGGTGGAAGAATTTTCTCGTTACTTTCTTTAATGCATCTGATTGTCGCGGAATATGGAGCAAAACTAAGTCACCCACACTTAATTGAATTTCCGACGGATTATTCTGAAGCTTCGCTCGATTTTGAAACTGCTTGTTTAAATTATTTTTCGCTAATAAAATTTTATATTCTTTCGTCATCCCATCCGTGTCAGGAAATCGAATTATTTCTTTAATGAAATCAGCCGGCTGTTCCCCAAAATGAAGCTCATGAGGAGAAAATCCCGTGGCGCAATTCGTGGTAGCATTAAGAAAGAACTCAATATCAGGGATATATTTCGCCCATCTAGTGTGCTTGTCACTACATAATGTGCGAAAGATACGTCCTAATTCACGCATCATTCTCTCTACCGGATTGCTCTTAGGATGTCTTATTGACGAATATATTACTTGCACCCCCGCCTCATGTAATGCCTGACCCCATTTCGGCGATGTAAATTGGGTTCCGTGATCGGATAAAATCCTACGGGGTTTTCCCATTTCCGGAATGTATAGTGTCAAAATTTTCTTTAAAATTGTCTGTGTATTCTCTTTTCTTATGGGATACAATTTTATATATTTAGAGAACGCATCGTAGGCCACGAAAATATATTCCATCCCCCTAATAGAGCGAGGGAGAGGTCCGTAAAAATCCACGCAAACAAGATCACATGGACCCGAAGAATACACCCTTTGATAAGAACCTTCCATTTGTACGTTACTAGGTTTAACCCTTTGACAAAGATCGCAAGATAAGACAAATTGTTTTACCTCTTGATTCATTGCCTTCCAGTAATAATACCGTTTCACGTATGTCAAAGTCTTATAAACGCCGGGATGTCCAAGCTTCGAGTGTATGCAATCTAACAACTTTCGCGTTATCACGGCCGGAACCACGATTTGCCAATTTTCGGTTACATTATCCTTGCGAAATAAAATATCATTTTCAATTATATACAAATTTTTCTCTAAATTTTCCGTCATTTTTTTTAAAAATTCTTTCGCGACCGGATCCTCTTTTTGTAAATCGGACAGATTTTTAAAAGAATTTTGCAATTCACACGGCATTTCAATTTGATTAATTTCACGAGTTATCATTTTATTCTGCTCCGAAATTTCAATAACATCGATTGATAAACTTTTCGGCAACGAGGATTCGAATTTACTTTCCGGATTTCGACTTAGAAAGTCCGCCACCACGTTATCCGCCCCTTTTACGTGCGATACTATAAAATCATATTGTTGTAAACAAAGATCCCATCGACTCATTCGCGCATTAAGGTGAGGGGTAGTTTTTAAGAAGACAAGAGCTTTGTGATCTGTGATCACCTCAAATTGATTGCCAAGTAGATACGTTCGAAGTTTTGAGACTGAGTACACGATGGCGAGAAGCTCCTTCTCCGTCGTCGTGTAATTTATTTCCGCAACATTTAAACACCGACTTACCATTGCAACAATTCTATGATCCCCCTGATTATCTATTTGATATAATACGCCACTAATTCCAGCATCCGACGCATCCGTTTGAAGTCGATAAGGAACGCCGGGAATATAATGATTTAATTGTACCGAATCGATGAACGCACGCTTCATTACTTCAAAAGCACGGTCATGGGCTTCCCCCCACTCCCATGGTGTTTTCTCCTTTAAAATTTCGCGGAAGGGATGAATAAGGTTCGCATGACGTACTGTGAACTGCCTATAATAGGTACAGACTCCTATAAATTGACGAAGTTGCGTTCGATTCTTTGGCGGTTGAAAATTTTTTATAATATCTAATTTATTACTAGGAGGACGAATTCCTTCCGTAGTTAATTCAAACCCGAGAAACTCGACTTGCTTACGACAAAACTTAGATTTTTTTAGACTCAGTGTGAAATTTTTTTCTTGCAAAACTTCGAAAACGGAACATAATTTATTTATATGATTGATAACTGATCCCGAGGTAGATATTAATAAATCGTCCACATACGTCGATAAACAATCGTCAAATTGATTACCAATAGCGAGGTTAAGAGCTCTTATAAAAGCGGAACCGGCGGTTTTAATTCCGAAAGGAACACGACAAAACTGGTATAATTTCGAATCGAATAAAAAGGCCGTATATTTACGGGATTCCTTATCTAAGGGAATTTGCCAATATCCGGATGCTAAGTCCGTTAACGACATATAAGTGACGCCATAAAATTTTTGCATAATTTCGGAAATCAGAGGAGGCGCCTCGTGGTCCGACTCAATTATTTCATTAATGTATCGCGCATCAAGGCATACTCTGACGCTGCCGTCACTCTTCACGACAATCCGAAGAGGATTACAATAATCGCTATCCGATCTCTCGATAATCTTCTCTTTCTCCATCTCATGCAGTGTCATTCTAGTACGATCACGAAAAGTCAAAGGAACGGGGTAGGATTTTCGCACGATCGTCTTATGAGGCTTTATTTTTAATTTGTAAGGGGGTGTATCAGCCACTAAAACTTTCGACGAAAATAATTTTTCAAATTGAGATAGTCTTTTTATAACAAATTCTCTTTCTTTATTATTTAATTCATTAATCTCGTTCGCAAGTATTTTAATTTCATCTATGAAAGATGAATCGTCATTATTATTATTATTTTTATTGTCAAAATCTACTCTATCTATTTCATTAATGAATTTTTTATCGTCAATGTCGCTAATCTCATTTTCAATTATAATATCGCATAAGCCCTGATCTATATTATTTACAGTATAATATTCCCGAAAAGATTCTTTATCCTTTGCTCGTTCGCTACAGGTAAACATCTCGACGTCAACATGCGAGTGACAGCCGTCAGCTGACTCACATTGTCCTTGTATTTCGCTAATCATAATTTCTTTACACACCAAATCGATCGATTTCTCAAAACTTTCGCAAAGACAATTTTCAAATAAATAATTAAGATCAAAAGAATTGCTGGTATCATTTTTTTCTTCTTTTTGCAATTGCACTTTACTTTCATTAACAAAATTTATTCCCTGTATATATTTAATATTATTTTTATCCCCTGTTATTTGAGAATCATCCTTGTATAATTGACCAAAAGTAACGAGAAATGATTCGATTTGAATCTTTTTTATAGTCAAAATTTTTCGCGAATAATCAACGATTGCCTGATTGTCCAACAGCCAATCGTTCCCGAGAATGATAGGGTTTGACAGAAACGGCACTATTAAAAAAGAAGACCGACATTCAAAATCCCCAATCGTGATGTCACACATAATTTGTCTTTTAATGTGAGTAGGTTTTTTTCCGATCGCGGTAAATAATACCACACTCGAAACCGGCAACTCGACAATTTTATTATATTTTTTTAAATAGCCGTAAAATGCCTCGGACATCGCGGTTATCTGGCTACCGGTATCAATAAGCGACATCATGGGAACTGAAAAAATGGAAACAATCACACGCGGGCATAAAGGGCATTTCGATTCATTATTATCCTTTTTCTTTACTTCATTATTAATCTCCTCAACTATTTCATTGAAATCCTCATACGAATGATGGCGCGACATAGAGGTGGAATATATCGCGCCGTCTACCAGTTTAAATGGTTCGAGGAGGTGGGATACGTCAGACAATTCATGGATAACGACAGAGGCGGTGGGGGACGACTAGTATCTGGAAGGGAGACACGCGGAACTTGGGAGCGACCATTGTAAATTTGATTTTCACGATGAGCACCGTTTGCCTGTATTCGAGCATTTACGAAATTCACCGATCTGTTTTCATTTCGCTGGCTATCGCTATTTTCTCGCCTTCCGAACTGAGAGTGTTGTTGATTCCTCGTATTATGATGACTTTGACTCGACGCATCTTTACCCGTATTGTTATTAATTAAATTTCGAGGTTTATTATTTTGGACACTTATCTTCTCTTGAAATGCTAAATCGAGTTGAGAAAGTGCTTGAGAAATTTTATTATAGTCGTTAAAATCTATTATCGATAAAATTTCGCGAATTCTCATGGGCATTTGCTGTATAACGGTAAAATGCAATTCATACGGTTCATATGCAGGTGTAAAATATTGTGCCTCCTTGACTTGGTTCATAAAATAGGTCTGTAAATTATCAGTCGCGTTGTCAAAACGTTTTGCGAGCCATTTTGATTTTATTTTGACACGGATGGGAATCGAGAAAAATTCCGCCAAAAATTTACCTTTGAAATCGTTATAATTAATCAGAGTTGGACGCTGCGATTCAAACCACACGCGTGCGCGGCCTTCAAAACATCCGTCGAGAAGATTCAACCTGTTACCTTGTAAATTTTTTATAACGAAATATTTTTCAAGCCTTTCTATGAACTGATGGGGATTTTCAGGTTCGCAAAATCTTGGTATTTTAACATCAATATTTACACCCCTTAACCCATCAATCAAAGACTGCACTAACTGATTGCCCGCATTTCCGTTTTCGCTTTCCTTTAAACGTTGCTGCATTTGCAACAATTGCACATTTTGAACTTGACTTAAAGTTCGAAGTTTATCTATCTCGGCACGTAATTCCTCAATAGTTTCAAACTCCCCACATAGCACAATAGTATGAGGTAAGGTTATGTTGAGTACTAATCGTAAGGCACATAAGGTTACACAATATTGCTGCGGTAGACCTGAGGTGAACTAAAAACTTCCGCCATGGAGGTAAGGTTACATGTTAGGGTGTGGTGAGTATATATGATAAGGCCATGGTAACCTTACACGTTAAGGTTAAGGTAACCTTACACGTTAAGGTTGATGTAACCTTACACGTTAAGGTTGAGGTAACGTTACATGTTAAGGTTGAGGTAAGGTTACATGTCAAGGTTGAGGTAAGGTAATTATTAAGTTGTAAGGTTGAGGTAAGGTTAAGGTAAGGTTGTGATAAATTTACCAGTTATGGAAAATATTGAAAAAATAATTAATAAATAAATATTCAATTAAAAAGTTAGTTTGTTGCTCCTCTCTATTTTGGAAACCTGACATGAAGCAGAAAATTTTGAAAACAAATTTGGGGGGACTGGGATTTGAACCCGGGATCGACGCGCATAAACCTATCATTCTAACTAACTGAGCTAAGTAGAGAACTGGTAGAAGGAAAATTAATATTGCCTTTAAGGAGTTAATCATCTTCTTGGTTCACCTTAAAGGCATCATTAATTTTCCTTCTGCCAGTTCTCTACTTAGCTCAGTTAGTTAGAATGATAGGTTTATGCGCGTCGATCCCGGGTTCGAATCCCATTCCCCCCAAATTTGTTTTCAAAATTTTCTGCTTCATGTCAGGTTTCCAAAATAGAGAAGAGCAACAAACTAACTTTTTAATTGAATATTTATTTATTAATTATTTTTTCAATATTTTCCATAACTGGTAAATTTATCACAACCTTACCTTAACCTTACCTCAACCTTACAACTTAATAATTACCTTACCTCAACCTTGACATGTAACCTTACCTCAACCTTAACATGTAACGTTACCTCAACCTTAACGTGTAAGGTTACCTTAACCTTAACGTGTAAGGTTACCATGGCCTTATCATATATACTCACCACACCCTAACATGTAACCTTACCTCCATGGCGGAAGTTTTTAGTTCACCTCAGGTCTACCGCAGCAATATTGTGTAACCTTATGTGCCTTACGATTAGTACTCAACATAACCTTACCTCATACTATGGTGCTATGTGGGTCGTCGATTATTTCCCGTCCATTTGTATTTTTATTATTTGGATCGGAAGTCGACATTTCCCACATAGCACAATAGTATGAGGTAAGGTTATGTTGAGTACTAATCGTAAGGCTCATAAGGTTACACGATATTGCTGTGGTAGACCTGAGGTGAACTAAAAACTTCCGCCATGGAGGTAAGGTTACATGTTAGGGTGTGGTGACTATATATGATAAGGCCATGGTAACCTTACACGTTAAGGTTGAGGTAACGTTACATGTTAAGGTTGAGGTAAGGTTACATGTTAAGGTTGAGGTAACGTTACATGTTAAGGTTGAGGTAAGGTTACATGTCAAGGCTGAGGTAAGGTAATTATTAAGTTGTAAGGTTGAGGTAAGGTTGTGATAAGTTTACCAGTTATAGAAAATATTGAAAAAATAATTAATAAATAAATATTCAATTAAAATGTTAAGTTTGTTGCTCTTTTCTATTTTGGAAACCTGACATGAAGCAGAAAATTTTGAAAACAAATTTGGGGGGACTGGGATTCGAACCCGGGATCGGCGCGCATAAACCTATCATTCTAACTAACTGAGCTAAGTAGAGAACTGGCAGAAGGAAAATTAATGCTGCCTTTAAGGAGTTAATCATCTTCTTGGTTCACCTTAAAGGCAACATTAATTTTCCTTCTGCCAGTTCTCTACTTAGCTCAGTTAGTTAGAATGATAGGTTTATGCGCGCCGATCCCGGGTTCGAATCCCAGTCCCCCCAAATTTGTTTTCAAAATTTTCTGCTTCATGTCAGGTTTCCAAAATAGAGAAGAGCAACAAACTTAACATTTTAATTGAATATTTATTTATTAATTATTTTTTCAATATTTTCTATAACTGGTAAACTTATCACAACCTTACCTCAACCTTACAACTTAATAATTACCTTACCTCAGCCTTGACATGTAACCTTACCTCAACCTTAACATGTAACGTTACCTCAACCTTAACATGTAACCTTACCTCAACCTTAACATGTAACGTTACCTCAACCTTAACGTGTAAGGTTACCATGGCCTTATCATATATAGTCACCACACCCTAACATGTAACCTTACCTCCATGGCGGAAGTTTTTAGTTCACCTCAGGTCTACCACAGCAATATCGTGTAACCTTATGAGCCTTACGATTAGTACTCAACATAACCTTACCTCATACTATTGTGCTATGTGGGTTTATTCGTATTTTTCCGCGTCACAATTTCTAAACCGGAGAATAATTTACCACTCTGAGAACGCGTTTTTCGCGGAGATATGTTTTGCATAAATATCACACTTTAATACAAATAATGCAAAAAAATTCGAAAAATGAACAATATTAACACAATAAATAAATAACATATGTATAAATCACAATCAAATAACAAATAAAAATATATCGACAAATATGTAAAATTAGTACAATAAAAAGATAGTATAGAAATCACTTTCATAAAATAGACACAATCAAATAGCAAAGTAAATTTCAGAATTAATAATTAACATCAATTAATACAACAGTCAATCATATTCACAAATATTCATTTTAAAAGTTTGGGCACTCGTTTGGTCCCTGTTCGGGCGCCATTTTATGTAATAAATTTATACTTAACAAAATTGAAATCAATAAAATTAAACAATAAACAATAATAGAATTATAAGACAAGATAATTAATTGAAAGGAATGAACATGAGAAATAAAAATTATCAAAATAAATGCAAAATTAAAATATATTCATAAATAAACAGTCGTTTTGACTCGAGTCAAATAAAAATCAATTTAAATTTACAATTTTATGCCCACGTTAAAATTACACATACATACACACATTCACCACACAAGTCAAATTATCAATACAATTTAGGACAAAAATATAATAAACAAAATTGAGTCGATTAAAACAAATAGATTAGAAATTAAGAAATTCATGAAAAAAAACATACTAAACAGAAGAAAATATAAAATACTCATCAGACTTCGATCTCAGGGGGAATATCGGCAGCGGCGTGGATGCGGAGAAACGGCGTCGTCCGGAATTCTATTGAGGATTTGAGGTCTCAATGTTTCCTCCTTTTTCCTCTAAATGAATCCTTTCCGTATTTTTTTAGCCCGGAAAGAAGTTAGTTATATTAGCTTCAATTTACTCCCAAACGATCGTCCGTGTGACTTTTCCCGCCTATTCAATCCAAACGACGCTCCAACAATTTTCCGCCCATTTACAAATTAACGCCACACTATAAATTTTAAAATGTTTTATAATCTTCAAAAATTATTATAAAAAAAAAAAACAAACACTAGTAAAAGGAAAATTTATCAAAGAAATTTTACTACACCAAAAAAATGAAAGCACTCTTTACCTTGAGGTCTACGGCATCGGACTTCAAAGTATGGCGCGGAAAATCCCCTTTACGAGAACCAAGTGCAAATGAGGCCCAAAATCACGCGGACGATCATTTTACTATCTCGCCAAAAGTCCCCCCAAAAGGTCCGCTTCTCCGAATCCAGCCGCGTTTCCCCGAATTGCAATAATTTCTCCTTATTTACTTGAGTGTCAGGCAATTGCCAATTAACAGGCGCAACATTTTCAAACAATTTTATACAATCAAAGAATTTCCTTTCAGTACGTTAAGGCATAATTGCCTCACTGTTTTGAAAAATGTTGAATTATCAATACTTGATCTGGCATGTAAGTTCACATATTCTGAAATTGAATAAATGTAAGTTTAAAGGATAATAATTAAACCATGATTTTCTCTTGCGAAAAACTCACCAAAAACAAAATTTTGAACATTCTCAGGTATAAGATTGTACTTTACACAAGAATTTGTATTTTCATTTATTGTCATATTACGTAGCACATTGTTACCCAAGATCATTCTTAATAATTCTGTTGTCATTTTTCTTGGACTATTAATATATTCATTTGTGATGTGAGTTAAGTTTTCGATATTCGCATCAATGTGCCATTTCTGCAATAGCTCAGCCTATAAGAAAATTATATCTTTATCAATTAGGGAACTCTTTCGTATACTGATCAAAGGTTTTGCAATGTGTAATAAGCTATAAACTGCTCTTGATTTTCAATTTTTTGTTTACTAATTGTAAGTCAAATTATAGAACGAACAAAGGTATCAATATTGGTAAAAAATTACAATTATTTTCTTATAGGTAAACTTTATACTACTATAAAAATATTGAAGATAGAAACCTGCATGGGATTTAAAGCACTTTGGTTGTTTGACTGTTCAGAATCTAAACAATTAATTTTCAAACATGTTATAAGGTAATTAAAAAATTGACTTACTAAATATTTTATAGGAAAATTTTTAATTAAGTTTAATGCAAAAACGTTGTTGCTTGAAAATAATTAACCTACATACCTCTGTTAATTGACCTGCCACGGTTTCGTCGGCGAATGTATTTGCATAATGTTTTCAATTTCTTAATAAATGTTGAGTTATCAATTCTTGGTCTGGCATGTAAGTTTACGTATTCTAAAATTTAATAATTTAAGTTACATATGTTCAGCATTTGTAAGTACAATAATAAACCATGATTTCTTCTTGTAAAAAACTCACCAAAAACAAAATTTTGAACATTCTCAGGTATAAAAGCATACTTTCTGACAGGTAAATTTCTTATTTTTGGTGTCATGTTTTGTAACATATTTTTACCTAAGATCTTTATCATTAATTCTGTTATCATTTTCGTTGGATTATTAATATATTTCTTCGTAATGTAAGTTAAATTTTTGATATTTGTATCAATGTGCCATTTCTGTAACAGTTTAACCTATATACCCAAGACAAATTAATCAATTATACTGACGTCGACTTTATTACTATAAAAATATTAAAGATAAAAACCTGCATAGGATTTAAAGCTCCTTGGTTATTTGAGTCTTCAGAATCTGAAAAATTAATTTTCAAACATTAGTTGTAATGAAAAAATAGTTATGTTAATTGTTTTGATTTTTTTATAGAAATGTTTTTAAGTAAACTTAATGCATAAACACTGTTGCTTAAAAATAATTAACCTACCAGACGAGAATTCTTCCGATGTATCTGTAACAAGAACTCATAATTAAAATAGCATCACAATGTTCGGTCTGAATGTATTAAAAATAAGGTTAGGAGGTATAGTATTTCAAATTGTTATATTCATATTGTTGTCTTTAGATATTCCAGAGATTGTATTTAAACTTACCCATATTTTCCGATTCATCACTAGTGGCCACAACAGTATTGTACCATATTGATAAAATATAGAAAATAACGTAGAAATTGAGCAATGAATGATTTGTTGCCATTTTGTTGATGTTTAAATGAATATTAACAAACAATAGAAGCAACAACAGCGTGGTAAACTTAAGAAAATCCTTGCAATTTAATGCACGCAATCAATCTCTATAAATTTAAGTAAATTTTTTACATGATCTTAAAAATCATTATCATTATTTATTATTATTATTTATTGTTTAGCATTTTAAAAATTTTGAATAAATAATTATTCGATAAACGTGAAGTTGTAATAAATTCAACCACATTTTTTTATTATTACACATACAAAAAAATTTAATATAACTTCAAATACTTTATGGACATTTAAATCAGTTTTATACTTAAAATATAATATAATATATAATATATATTCTTTTTTAGTTAAAATGTTTTTTTACTTATACTTGAAAATATTTTAACTATTTTAAAATTATGCGTTTTGTTTTTTCAATTTTTTATCAAGAAATTTTCTATAATATTGTCGACTTTTGTAAAATTTAAATATTCTAAACTTACTTTTGTTTCAGAATTAAATAATTTTTAGTATAATATAATATTTCCGTATATGACGTCTTTTCCTTTTATGAAAATAGTAAAGATGTTAATTATAGGTAAGGAAGTATGAGATGTGTGTTATAGATTTAAATAAAAATTCATTTATTCGTGTATATTAATATAAATGAAAAATAATAAAAATGTCGTCAAGTATATATAAACAAATCTAGATAGAGGAAAAGCTATACAGAATTTAATTGAAAAATAATAAAAAATAAATATTTTTATTTTACAATTTTTAAATAGTTAATTTAACGATTTCTTACAATAATTGTTTTAACTCCAGATTGTTCTTGCTCCTCCTGAAATTATACCGTATAAATGAGACTTATAGTTTTTTGTGTATAAATATATTTATATTTCCCAAAGGTCCCTTGAACAAAAAATAGATACAATTTACAAACAATTTATGCTTATACCAAAAAAATAAAATGTCACTTTCGCATCACTTGGATATCAACTGAAAAGAAATTTATGTCTCTTACTTTTACAAGCTTATTGTTTATCGCAACTTTTCAACATAAAAAAGCGTACTTATTGTACATAGTGATATTTACATAATTTTTTTCGTGAAATAATTTATCAGTTGTGCTAAAGTTTAAGACTTAACCCATTAATGCCCATATAGGCACAGGAATCGCAGATATAAAAAAAGTAACATTTGGGATGTGGGATCCTGGCATCGGGTCTAATAATAATTTTTTACGTTAAAAATTTTGTTAGAAAATTTTTTTTTTAAACAAACTACTAGGTACGAGAACATATATTACAAAATTTTAAAAAAAGACCTATTATAAAAATGTTATAAACAATTCTTATTAGCTAAAAGGATAATTAGAAAACGTAAATACTTTGTTGTTCTCTTAACACCAATAACTTACCAAAAAAAAAAAATTTTTAATATTCTTAGGTATATAGGTTTATGCATCTTTTTAATTGATTTTAACCAATCCCGCAGCATTCTTACCGTAGGAGACAGCGTTTTGATTAGTTGAAATCCAATCCTCTGTTCTATCACACAGGCCTGCATATATTCTATAAGAAATATTTATCAGCAGAATATTATTAAAATCACATTGTATTACTTACAAATGTTAAAGAATTGAAAAATTAGACATTAAAGATTTACTAACTTCTTAATTCATAAACAAAATGTTATTGTTGCTCATCGTTTTCCATAATTACCTTTTAAAATATATAATAATTTTTATAAATAACTTTTAAATTAAATATTTTCTTATTTTGTTTTTAAACAAATTTTTTATATTCTCTGGAATTAAATAGAAATCGACGGAAAAAAACAAAAGAAAATCAAACATCACAACATACATATAGTATACACATATCTCTCTTATTTGTATGTGTAAACCATACTGTCCAAGACAACGATACTTCGTGACAACGATTCTCAAGTTTTGTACCTAAAATCATAAGTGAAAAAATTTGAAATTCTCATCTAGAATTTATTGCTTAAAAATTTACATGTAACTATTAATTCTTAGTTACATCCTTCATCAATTGTAATCCTAAAATGCATTAAAAATGAAATATTTTAGTTGGATTTTCATCGATTCTAACCTTAAAATTAAACATCAACATTATATTATCGAATAATGTTTATTTAAGTTATTAGGAAATAAGATTATAAATAATGATTCGAAATGTTTTAGTTGAAGCATTATTTGCATTTAAAAAGTTTAATAATTTCGGAATTACCGGTAAAAATTTTGTGATTTTAAGTACTTTCAGGTTATCTTCGAAAAATCCATTCAGAGCAGCGACTGAATCAAGTAAGATTTTTTTTATTTTCAATTTTTATAACCCCAAGAAAATATTTTTTTATTAATTTTTTGAAATTTTTTCAGTTTCAGAAAATCTTATTCCAAATGTATTAATAAAAGATTGTATGAGTATTTTACAAAAAGCATCTGATTTTCATAAGGAAACAAATAATACATTTCTACACGAACTTCACGATTCAAAAAATTTTCAAACATTATGCAACGTGCTAAGCAGTAGAGAAACACTACCATCATGCAATGAAGCTGTTCAAATTTTAGTTTTTATGTGTAATTTAGAAATGGGAAAAGTTAATCCTCAATTTATTTTGACATTATGGCAACAATGGATTGATGAGAAGAATATTCCATTTTTAACATTTTATGAGAATTATGTGTTATTGATGCTTGTCTTGAATCGTTTGCCCTACACAAATTGGGTGGAAGAGCAAAAAAAATTGCTAATTAAAGAATTAGAGAAAAAATTAGTACTGACTGACATTAATAATTTGCCACATAATGAAATAGAAGCTATTGTTCGTTTAAATGAGCAGATTGAAATTTTTGATGGTAGAATCGATGACAATGTACTGAAATTGCTTCTTAATAAGGAATTAAAAAAAGATTCTGTTGATTGGACATGGGTTTTCTATCTTCTTTCTTTAGTAAATGATATGCATTTGGAATTTAATTCTATTTTGAACGAGTGTCATAAAAATTTACTATTAAATATTATGAATTACCGAAAAAATCAAGTGTGGAAAATTTTGACTATTATGAGGAGGGCAGTTTTGTATCGAAGGTAATTAAAAAAATAAATGCTCTCTCTCTACTATAAGATGGCTAATAAAAAAATTTTCTTGCCTTATAATTTGCTGATTTTTGGCCAAAAAATTCTTATTTGACCCCTTAAGTAACAGTGAAGAAAAATATTAATTTATAATTTTTTTCTGTTTCAACAGATTATACAAATTCTACAATGCTAAACTATTGGATACAATTGTTGATAAAGCCATCTATGAAAATTACAAAATTAATGAAGGAAGTAAACTTATACTACTTTTATCGAACTTGGGTCATAAACATGAATCCTATGTAAATTATCTAATAAAAAAAACGGAAAATTCGAGTATGAGTAATAAACAACTTACATATTATCGTCTATTTTCCTATGCCGTTCATGTTAATTGTGATTCATCTTGTAACATTCTTATGGATAAATTATTGAGTCAGAAGAATTTTATTTTATCATCGGAGACTAATGATAGATTGATAAAATTCACTTATCGTATGATATTATTGGAGCACTACGATGAAGATTTAATAAAAGCCACATTGATGGACAGTCATTATGATACAAAATTTAAGGAGCAAAAGGGTTCTTTTGTTTTTGCAATGGTGAAACATTTTCATCCAATGCCACAACTATTTCAATCGCTTGAGGATGTACGTGCACGTTTTTTGGAAATTAGAAAACACATTTTTTACACATATCAAAAGTTTTACGTAAAAAAAAATTTCTTGCAAAGTTTGCTGTCTGTTTACTACGGATTTTTTGAATAATACGAATTATAAATTATACCTAAACTTTTAACATTGATTGTTATGGAGAAATGTGAAATTTATCCTTTTAATTGAAAAAAAATGTTAAAAACTTAGAAGAAATCCAAATAAATTCATGCTTTTAAAAAAATAAGTACATGATATCACAAATCGTTTCAAATAAAAATTATACCATGTTGCTGGAAATATATTAACAAATTTTAGAAAATAGTAAAAAAAATTATGATCTGTTACCTTTTTTAAATAACAAAGAAAGAAGAGCGGCAACGTCACTTTTACTTGCGATATGAAACTTATGAACAAAGAAACTGATATTTTTTTTATTTTATGGTTATAAATGTAATAAAATTGAAAGTAAAATAGAAAAAGGTTTTTTAAAAAATTTTCTTCTCAACAATAAATTACATGCACTGACATTTTTGTGCATTAATAAAGAATATTTTAATTCTAACCAACTAATCATAAAACAATAACATTCGTGCTATTGACGGTTGTGAAGTTGTCAGATTTAAACACGACAGTTATAACATAGTATTAGTTTATATACGAATATAAAATTTTTCTAGTGTATGTGACAGTAACAAAAAAAAGTTTTTTTCTGAAGTTTGAATATATCCCATATGAAACATCTCATTTTAAGGTTTATATTTTTGTCAGGAAAAGTCGTGCACGTTCATCCTTGAGGAAAAAAAGAAGATAAACCGGCAAACCAATAGGATCATAGATATATATACAAAATATAAAGAGAAAAATATCTTCACTTATCCACTACGATCAAAATTGGAATTATTATTAGGTGGTCCTCAATATTTACTAACAAAAGTTATAACTAAATATGACCAATATGCAGGTAATTTTTCATATTAACATAGTTTTAAAATTTAATTTAAAAAATTTAATTCTAAAAATCGCTTTTTAAATTTAATGTTAATAATTTTTTGAACTCGATAATTTAACCCTATTTTTATGTTATAGATCATTTTTTACTTTTACGTCAAGGTGGTTACCCGGTGGCTTTTAACACAGTATTATTGGAGAAAGAGGTTAATACCATGAAGCAAGTACCAGTTCCAAACAATTGTCACTTGTAAGACTTAATTTTCTAATTACATTTCTAATTACAAAAAAAAAAATTTAATTTAAAATAGAAATTTTACAATACAAAACTATTTGACAAAATATATATTAAAAAGTATCCCTTTCTTTACAGAGTAGTCATTATATTAATAAGGCAACAGGCTCATATATTGAATACAGGAGAGATTAAAAGATATTATCAAATGTTTATAAAATTACAAAGAGCAATAAGCAAGAATACCGTTGTTATTTATGAAAAAGACTGGAACAATGTGCCTGAACCGAAGAAACTTTGTTGGCTTATGGACCAAATTAAAAAAGAATGTCATTCAATTTTTGAAAAACCATTATAAAGTTAATTCTATTCAAGTAATATATTTATATATTATGTAAAAAAGAAGCGTGATAGTTAAAATCACGTGTTTGTAAGAAATGTAAATAATTTGAATTTGTTATTTGTTAAATAAATATTATTAACAAAAAAAAAAGAAACTTTAATTCGTTTATGTATTTTCTAAAACATGATAGATGTAAAAATGTATAAAAAAAACAATTTTTATATGTTTTCCTGTATTTTCAAAGAGATTAAATTGTTTTTGAAGTTATCTTAATAATAAGAAATTTGTGTTTTTCTTTACACCATGTCATATTTTTGACTTTCCCTATTTAAAGGAATTGATTTTTTTGAAGTTATCTTAATAATAAGAATAATGTGTTTTTCTTTATACCATGTCATATTTTTGACTTTTCCTAATTAAAGGAGTTGAATCTTTTGAAGTTACCTGAATAATAAGAACAATTATTTTTCTTCGGCCTTTGTCAGCATGCTTGAACAAATTTCGTTGATCCTTCCATAATATCTGAAACAAAAAGAGAATTAACAAAACTATTAGAAATTTTGAATTCTTTTCGAAATATCTCAAATTTTAATTTTTCTACTTTTACTCACCAATTCTTGACTTTTCCTATTTAAAGGAATTGATTTTTTTGAAGTTATCTTAATAATAAGAATATTATGTTTTTCTTTACACCACGTCATATTTTTGACTTTTCCTAATTAAAGGAGTTTCATTTTTTAAAGTTATCTGAATAATAAGAATAGCATTCTTACCGTAAGAGACAGCGTTCTGATTAGTTGAAATCCAATCCATAGGCCTGCATACATTCTATAAGAAATATTTATCATTTTTGGAAATAAACAACAGAATATTATTAAAAACACATTGTATTACTTACAAATGTTAAAGATTTAAAAAATTAGACATTAAAGATTTACTAATTTCTTAATTCATAAACAAAATGTTATTATTGCTCATATCGTTTTCCAATTGTACCTTTTAAAATATATAATAATTTTTATAAATAACTTTTAAATTAAATATTTTCTTATTTTTTTTTAAAAAAATGTTTGATATTCTCTGGAATCAAATAGAAAGAGACGGAAAGAAACAAAAGAAAATCAGAGTTTAATCTTATAGATAAACATTACTCGAATAAGCAAAACATTGTATATACACACATTTCTCTGATTCGTATAATGTAAACCATACTGTCCAAGACAACGATTCTCAAGTTTTGTACCTAAAATCATAAGTGAAAAAATTTGAAATTCTCATCTAGAATTTATTGCTTAAAAATTTACATGTAACTATTAATTCTTAGTTACATCCTTCTTCAATTGTAATCTTAAAATATGCTTAAAATGCATTAAAAATGAAATATTTTAGTTGGATTTTCATCGATTCTAACCTTAAAATTAAACATCAACATTATATTATCAAATAATGTTTATTTAAGTTATTAGGAAATAAGATTATAAATAATGATTCGAAATGTTTTAGTTGAAGCAACATTTGCTTTTAAAAAGTTGAATAATTTTGATATTACCGGTAAAAATTTTGTGATTTTAAGTACTTTCAGGTTATCTTCGAAAAATCCATTCAGAGCAGCGACTGAATCAAGTAAGATTTTTTTTATTTTCTATTTTTATAACGCCAAAAAAATATTTTTTTATTAATTTTTTAAAATTTTTTCAGTTTCAGAATATCTTATTCCAAATGTTCTGAGAAGTACAAACACAATGATTGAAAATAAATTTATTTTATTCGGCATCGAATTTATAGTAAAAAAAGAATCAAGCAAGAAAGTATTAATAAAAGATTGTATGAGTATTTTACAAAAAGCATCTAATTTTCATAAGGAAACAAATAGTACATATCTACACGAACTTCATGATTCAAAAAATTTTCAAACATTATGCAACATGCTGAGAAGTAGAGAAACACTACCATCATGCAATGAAGCTGTTCAAATTTTAGTTTTTATGTGTAATTTAAAAATGGGAAAAGTTAATCCTCAATTTATTTCGACATTATGGCAACAATGGATTGATGAGAAGAATATTCCATTTTTAACATTTTATGAGAATTATATGTTATTGATGTTTGTCTTGAATCGTTTGCCCTACACAAATTGGATGGAAGTGCAAAAAAAATTGCTAATTAAAGAATTAAAGAATAAATTAGTACTGACTGACATTAATAATTTGCCACATAACGAAATAGAAGCTATTGTTCGTTTAAATGAGCAGATTGATATTTTTGATGGTAGAATCGATGACAATGTACTGAAATTGCTTCTTAATAAGGAATTAAAAAAAGATTCTATTGATTGGACATGGGTTTTCTATCTTCTTTCTTTAGTAAATGATATGCATTTGGAATTTAATTCTATTTTGAACGAGTGTCATAAAAATTTACTATTAAATATTATGAATTACCGAAAAAATCAAGTGTGGAAAATTTTGACTATTATGAGGAGGGCAGTTATGTATCAAAGGTAATTAAAAAAATAAATGCTCTCTCTACTATAAGGTGGCTAATAAAAAAATTTTCTTGCCTTATAATTTGCAGATTTTTAAGGCTAAAAAATCCTTATTTGACCCCTTAAGTAACAGTGAAGAAAAATATTAATTTATAATTTTTTTCTATTTCAACAGATCATACAAATTCTACAATGCCAAACTATTAGATACAATTGTTGATAAAGCCATCTATGAAAATTACAAAATTAATGAAGGAAGTAAACTTATACTATTTTTATCGAACATAGGTCATAAACATGAATCCTATTTAAATTATCTAATAAAAACAACGGAAAATTCGAAACATTCGAGTATGAGTAATAAACGACTTACATATTTACATCTATTTTCCTCTGCCGTTTATGTTAATTGTGATTCATCTTGTAACATTCTTATGGATAAATTATTGAGTCAGAAGAATTTTATTTTATCATCGGAGACTAATGATAGATTAATAAAATTCACTTATCGTATGATATTATTGGAGCACTACGATGAAGATTTAATAAAAGCCACATTGATGGACAGTCATTATGAAACACCACTTGAGGAGCAAAAGGGTTCATTTGTTTTTGCAATGGTGAAACATTTTCATCCAATGCCACAACTATTTCAATCACTTGAGGAAAACAAGAAGATAAACAGGCAAACCAATTGGTTCATAGATGTAAATAAAAAATATAAAGAGAAAACTGTCTTAACTTATCCCCTACGATCAAAATTGGAATTATTATTAGGTGGTCCTCAGTATTTACTCACAAAAGTTAGAACTAAATATGGCCTATATGCAGGTAATTTTTCATATTAACATAGTTTTAATATTTAATTTAAAAAATTTAATTCTAAAAATTGTTTTTTTAATTTTATATTAATATTAAAATTAATAATTTTTTGAACTCGATAATTTAACCCTATTTTTATGTTATAGATCATTTTTTACTTTTACGTCAAGGTGGTTACCCGGTGGCTTTTAACACAGTATTATTGCAGAAAGAGATTAATACCATGAAGCAAGTACCAGTTCCAAACAATTGTCACTTGTAAGACTTAATTTTCTAATTACATTTCTAATTACAAAAAAAAATTTAATTTAAAATAGAAATTTTACAATACAAAACTATTTGACAAAATAAATATTAAAAAATATCCCTTTCTTTACAGAGTAGTCATTATATTAATAAGGCAACATGCTTATATATTGAATACAGGAGAGATTAAAAGATATTATCAAATGTTTATGAAATTACAAAGAGCAATAAGCAAGAATACCGTTGTTATTTATGAAAAAGACTGGAACAATGTGCCTGAACCGAAGAAACTCTGTTGGCTTATGGAACAAATTAAAAAAGAATGTCATTCAATTTTTGAAAGACCATTTTAAAGTCAATGGTATTCGAGTAATATATTTATATATTATGTAAAAAAGAAGCGTGATAGTTAAAATCACGTGTTTGTAAGAAATGTAAATAATTTGAATTTGTTATTTGTTAAATAAATATTATTCTTAAAGAAAAATTATATTTTAATTTGTTTATATATATTATCTATAACATGATATATGTAAAAATGTATAAAAATAAAAATTTTGTTATGTTTTCCTGTATTTTCGAAGAGATTAAATTATTTTTAAAGTTATCTGAATAATAAGAATAATTATTTTTTAAAAAATTTATGCTACCCTATATTTTAAAAGCAATTGAAATTTTTAAAGTTATCTTAATAATAAGAAAATTTGTGTTTTTCTTTACAACACGCCATATTTTTGACTTTTCCTATTTAAAGGAGTTGAATTTTTTGAAGTTATCTTAATAATAAGAATATTGTGTTTTTCTTTACACCATGTCATATTTTTGACTTTTCCTATTTAAAGGAGTTGAATTTTTTGAAGTTATCTTAATAATAAGAATATTGTGTTTTTCTTTACACCATGTCATATTTTTGACTTTTCCTATTTAAAGGAGTTGGATTTTTTGAAGTTATCTGAATAATAAGAACAATTATTTTTCTTCAGCCTTTGCTAGCGTACTTGAACAAATTTCAATGATCCTTCCATATAATATCTGAAACAAATAGAGAATAATTAAAACTATTAATAAAATTTAATTCTTATGGTAAATATCTCAAAAATTAATTTTTCTACTTTTACTTACCAATTCTTGACTTTTCCTATTAAAGGAATTAAATTTTTTGAAGTTATCTTAATAATAAGAAATTTGTATTTTTCTTTACACCATGTCATATTTTTGACTTTTCCTAATTAAAGGAATTGAATTTTTTGAAGTTATCTTAATAATAAGAATAATTTATTTTTTATAATGTACACTTATAATAAAAGCAGTGATTATTTGTTAGTAACTATGTTATAATATAAAAAAATACTTACTGCTACTACCTACTTTGTCACTTTACCAGCTTGCGGCCATCCTGGATTCCCAACTGCACAATGAAAGAGGGGGACAACTTGACGTCATTCTATATCTCGAATTATCGATTCTACGTGTAGAGTATACTTGCTGCGTAGACAACTTCACATCAACTTACCAATTCAGATGATCATATGATCACCTCACGAGAAAAAGGGGCGAGTCCTTGTTTTTACACATAAAATTTTGACGTATCGTTGAAATTTCCTCATTTAAATCTGAAAAATAAATTGAATTAACAATGAAGGGCTGTTTGTTTAATATCGACAATGGTTATTTGGAGGGTTTATGTCGTGGTTTCAAGTGTGGAATACTTCAACAAAGTGATTATTTAAACTTGGTGCAATGTGAAACACTTGAAGGTAAGTTTTCTCTCATTTTTTTCTTTCATGTATAATGTGTCATTTTTTCTAATATTACACTTATTTATATTTATATTTTTCCCAATCTAGCGATCGTTGTACAGAATAAAAATTTTAATTCCGTATTGAAGAAAATTAACCTCATTTTTAATATATATTGATTTTCTTTTCTAATTATAATATACTGTTGTGTAATATTTTTATTGTTATTTTAAATAGAGTTGAAAGCAAAATTTTTTACTCTTCTGAACGATTTTGTTTTTTTTTATAAACTGAGAGTTGATAAGATACAAAAATATTGATTCCATTATAAAGACATATAATGTATCAACTTTTTTTTGTCTCTGTCCCAATTTAAAAATCTGAAGAAAATTTAAGCAGTCTGCGATGTTGGAAGAATTTGAAGAAATATGAAGATTAAAAAAAAATTTGCGAAGACTGTATACCTATATAATTCTTCGCAGAAATTCAATTATTTTTAAAACAATTTTAATAAAATTGCACGAAAAGATTTAATTATTTAAAAACAATTTTTAATAAAATTCTTGCCAAAAATTAATTATTTTCAAAAATTTTAATAACATATTCTTCCGAAGAATTCAAAAAAATTCAATTATTTTTATAAAATTCTTCAAATTTTTGAATAAAAAATTTTGCAAATAGTTCAATGATTTTCAGTACATTACTTTTGAATATTCAAAGCATTTAAAAAGAAAAGTTATTCAAAAAAAAAGTTAAAAAGCAAAATTAATTTTTCAGACTTGAAACTACATTTGGCGGGAACGGATTATGGCAGTTTTTTGGCAAATGAACCCTCGCCATTGTCAGTGAGTGTTATTGATGATAAACTGAGGGAGAAACTTGTCGTTGAATTTCAACATATGCGAAATCATTCTGTTGAACCATTGTCGCAATTTCTTGATTTCATCACTTACAGTTACATGATTGATAATATAATTTTACTCATTACTGGCACTCTTCATCAGCGACCAATTTCCGAATTAATACCCAAGTGTCATCCACTTGGTAGTTTCGAGCAAATGGAGGCAATTCATGTCGCAGCAACTCCTGCTGAATTGTACAATGCCGTTTTGGTCGATACTCCTCTGGGTAATTAAAACATAATTTCTCCCTTTTCTTACTCTACTATTTTAAAATTGAATTTTACATTTAAAATTCAATTAAGAAATTTAAAAATTAAGCGAATTATTTGAGAATTAATAAATTATTTTTCTGTTATTCAGCTCCATTTTTCGTCGACTGCATTTCCGAACAGGATTTGGATGAAATGAATATTGAAATAATCAGGAACACTTTGTATAAGGCTTATCTTGAGGCTTTTTACAAATTTTGCAAAGACATCGGTGGCACCACTGCTGAAACAATGTGCGAAATACTCGCTGTAAGAAATCGTAAATTTTACTTAAAAAAAATGACTTGATGCCCCTTTCGACAATTTTTAATTTTTTTAAACAATCAATTCTTTTCTACCTTCCATTGAATTACATTGTCGTTGTAATGTGACATTTTATTTTTTTAAACAATCCTTTTTTTTAAGTTTAAAAAAATATTTATTATTCTTTATATTTATTTTTAAAAAATATTTTTTTCATTATTATGGTAAATATCAACATATTTTAATTTTTTGACTTTTACTCACCAATTCTTGACTTTTCCTAATTAAAGGAATTTAATTTTTTGAAGTTATCTTAATAATAAGAAATTTGTGTTTTTCTTTACACCATGTCATATTTTTGACTTTCCCTATTTAAAGGAATTGATTTTTTTGAAGTTATCTTAATAATAAGAAATTTGTGCTTTTCTTTACACTATGTCATATTTTTGACTTTTTCTATATAAAGGAATTGAATTTTTTGAAGTTATCTGAATAATAAGAAAATGTGTCTTTCTTTACACCACGTCATGTTTTTGACTTTTCCTAATTAAAGGAATTTTATTTTTTGAAGTTATCTGAATAATAAGAATAATTATTTTTCTTCGGCCTTTGTTAACGTGCTGGAACAAATTTCGTTGATCCTCCCATAATATCTGTAACATAACATAACATTAATTATTTATTCTTTTTTTCAGTTTGAAGCCGATAGACGAGCAATAATTATAACGATTAATTCGTTTGGAACCGAACTCGGTAAGGATGATCGTGCTAAACTCTATCCCCGTTGTGGAAGATTGAATCCCGATGGATTAGCTGCCCTTGCTCGTGCTGATGATTATGAACAAGTGAAAGCCGTCGCCGAATATTACGCAGTATATAAATTTCATTCCTTTTTATTCTAAAATAATTATTTCAAATCGTAAATTTTAGTGTAAGAAAACATTGTCTTTTTAATTTTCAACTCTTTAAACTACTTATTTTCTTTTTATTTTAGGAGTATAGCGCACTTTTCGAAGGGGCTGGTAATAATCCTGGTGATAAAACACTGGAGGATAAATTCTTCGAACGAGAGGTAAATTTTTTTGTTTTTTTACTTTTATTGACAAAAATTCATTTCTTTAAAAATAATAGAATTTTGTAAGAATTTTATTGAAATAATTGATGTTTCTAAAATTCTTTTAAAAATAATTGAATTTTTTTTAAAGAATTATTATCTTAGAAAAGTAAAAAAATTAAAATTAAATTGTTTCATTAATTTTTCAGGTTCGTTTGAACGTCAACGCTTTCCTTCAACAATTTCATTTCGGAGTATTTTATAGTTACTTAAAATTAAAAGAGCAAGAGTGTCGCAATATTGTCTGGATATCTGAATGCGTTGCACAAAAGCATCGCGCCAAAATTGACAATTACATTCCAATTTTTTAAATTGAAAAACAAAAACAGAAAAAACAGAAGAAATTGGAAATAGATAAAATTAAATTTATTCGACGCCGTTTTGTTTTGAGGGCAAAAAAAATGCTCCACTTATTAACAAAAAAAAAAATATTGTTGTCGACAAGAACAAAATTATTTTTGAGAGACAAAAATCTCAAGTATTCATGTATTTTCTTTTTTTCACAATATTGGCGTTTGAAATTTTAAACTTTTAAAAGAAACAAAAAAAAGAACATCAATTTTCTTGTACATAGTATATAAATTATATTCTCTAATCTCCAAGTATAGTATTATTATTATCAGAGGTATAAATTGTTGTCTGTAAAACTGTGTAATAACGCACTAATAAAACCATTCTGCATTCCATGTTAACAATCATTTTTTGCCTTTTTTTCATTTAAAAATAAATTGAAATTTAATGAAAATAGTTAAAAAATTTTATTATTTTTTACTTTCCTTTTATAATATTAAAAATGTTAGTTACTGCTAATCGCAGCGTCATTACCTTCGCTCTTTTTTTCTTTCTTCTCAACTTCTTTCGTTTTCGATTTTTTCCCACGAATTTCTTTTTGTCCCGTTTTCAATAATTCTTCCGCGTAATTATCGCCAAAAACCTCTTTATTCTCAATCCAAAAACGATCGCCAATCAAGTCATCGGAAATTTTTTCAATAACATTTCTTTTACGGCCATTTTCGGTAATCGATTTTCGTAAAATAATCGTTCCTTTACGAAAAATTGGCAATTCGTTGTTATAATTTATACCAAAATCGTGAAATAACATTTCATTTTTGTCACTGGAAACGGTGCCTTTTAATTTCTCGTTCGCCTAAAAAAATAGAAAATTAATTTTAAAATTTAAAATATAAGAACCTTTTTTTCTATTTACCTCTCGTGTGGTCATATTTTTCTTTTGGACTAAATTCCAAAAGCAGGTGTTATGAAGATTATTAATATGAACGTCAGCTTGTCGCCAGGATAAATAATCACGTAAATTATTATCCATTGGATATAAAACTAATCTCGCATCGAAAGCCGGTGGATATAAAAGTTGTGTGTCCTTAAAAAATTGAGACCAGTGAAAAACGTAAGACGAGGCGAAGAGTGAATTAACATTTGATGTTATTTTAAAAACTGGCGGAACAGAAAATAAGAAAATTAATTAATAAAATAAGGAAATTAATTATTTGAGGTTAGAAATATTTTTCTTACTTCTAAACCATAAAAATTAAAGAGTTTGAAGGGAAAGAAATTTGAAAAAATTCCAAAATTAGAATAAAATAAATATTTTAAATAAATTACCTCGTCGATTAAATTGTTCGGCATTTCGTCGGAATACAAAAGAATATTCATCACTTTGTCCATAGGCTATTACAATTTCCTTAAAATTTTCCATAACAGAAATTGCCGCTTGATTCATTAATTCAAGGGCCGTAAGATCATTTGGTTTCGAAAATTTATGATCGTCGGCAAATTTTGAAAATCCCCTGCCATCAATTCGCACAACAATGTAACAATTTGGTAAACAATGTTCGTCGCGTTCAAAACCCTTCACATATTCAAATTTACTTTGCGCCATTTTCTGCGAGAATAATGACGATTTTAATGAAAAACAACGAAATAGAAGCCGGTAATTATTAATAAAACACTTTTTCATTTATAAAAACAAGTTTAAATAGACTTTCATTGGATTTTTCGAATTTTTCTCAAGTGGCCTCGAGAAAGAATTTCGGAAAAACATTAAACACGTGTAAAGTAAAGTAAGGTTAGGTTTGTGTTCAAGCTTTGACATTTAGTTCTTAGGTTATGTTTACATTCCGCAGTCGAGAATTTAAAAAAAAATATTTAACCGTTTTTTTATTATTTGATGATAAAAAGTGAAAAAAGGGTAAGTTTAGAAGGTTTAGAAATATATAATTTTTACTAACTTGAAAATTTTCTAAGACTAATTTTTCCCTATATATATGGTATATATTTATTGGCAATATTTTTAAAATACTAGTATCAAGTTCTTTGTGTACGTGATTTGTAAATAACAATGATTTGATTTACTGTTACTGTTGATAAAATCATACAATATCTTCATGCTTTTTTTCCCACCTTAATTATTTGCAAAATTGAAAAATAACCTTAGTTTTTAGATGGTTTATATATAAAGAGCTGAATGAATTAATAAGTATTTATTTCTTTATTACTTTTATTTATTAACCCTTTGAGTGTTGCTTTCAGGCAACATGAACATTTTTTTATTAACTCGTGCATAATATATTAAATTTCTTAATTTTCAAAACTGAATATTTGAAACAATAATTTTCACATAGTCTGAAAAATATCGTATGACAGATACTGGTCTTCAAATAAAAAACTTCAATAACTTTCCCCGAAAAGTTTGCTTAAAAATTAAAATCGCGATTTAAAAAAAAAAAATTAGGTCCTCAAGGGTTAAAAACAAAAAACTTTACGAAAAGGGTATATGCATAAAAAAAATTAAAAAGAATAATACTAAAGTAAGCTATAAAAAAAACACGTAATTTATTGTTCTGAAATCTAAAAGTACATTAAATATCTTAAATTAAAGTATTTCAAGTATAATACCTAAAGGTGTTGATGCAAAAAAATAACAAAAATTTAAAATTTTCAAAAACGGTTATAAAAGTGTTTTTTTGCTTTGTTGTGAACTACAGATTTTTATAAAAGATTTAACATTTAAAAAAATTAATTGAAATTTTTTTAACACAGTTGAGCTGGACTGACCCTATAACTTATATAAAAAGAAACCGAAATTTGACTTTCTATGAAAAAATATTATAGAGAAAAGTTGTTTGTATTTTCCTAATCTAAAGTATAATATAAAGTTAAAAATATTGAAAGAAAAAATTGAATTATCAAAATTTTGAAAGTACTGTAGTTTGGGACCAGCAAAAAATGTTTTGACTATAATTAATGTTAGTAAACAGGAGATATTATAAACTTCGCTAAAAAATTAATTTTCCATCTTTTGCTGATTATCGGCTGTGGTTACTTTTTATGAATTGGGATTTAAAATAATTTTGAGGCCCCGGATATTAATTGGCATTGTTTTAGCAATAGTTTGGGACCTGGAAAAAATGTTTTGACTAATTGATGTTAGTAAACAGGAGATAAACTTCGCTAAAAAATTTTTATTATTACCATTGATTATTATATTGACTATTATTTTGATTTCAGAATTAGTGATGGATTTACATAAAAAGTTTCAAACTCTACCGATAATTGATTTATCAATAATACTTGGCTCTAAAAATTATCAATCGATGATTAATAATTTGATAAAAGTTTTCAATAACGAACTATTGACGTCAACAATAGATATAAATAACTTAAAAACTTACCATATGATCCTCTGCCAAAATTATCAACAGAATCCAAAAGAAAAGTTTCTCGAAAACAATCTCTCCATTGCTGATTTATTTTCCCAATCAAACAATTTTGCTAACAATCAATTCTTACTAATTAAGGATATCATTATTTTACGATTATTCTTCGATCCAACAAATATTTATCATGAATTTGATCAATTTCGATGTAAAAACTCCCTGACGGTGAACATCATCCAAAATGAAGAACAGAATTTTTATATGAATTTTATCGAATGTTTCGTAGATGTCTTTCGTTTATTGCACTTCAACAATGTGCAGTTTGAATGTTCTAATTTCAATTTCCCGATTGCTTCTGATTTGGAAATTTGGTATCGACACAAAAATGAAAAGTCCTGTGGAATTCTTGTTTCCCTTGTGCCGAAATTTATCGAAATCTCCTTAATCGAGTGTTTGGAGACACTTTGGCTCTTAATAAGAGATAACAATGACCTAACGGGATTTTGTATTGTTCTAAATTTCTTGTCTCGGGAAAAGAAGATTTTTTATCAAATTCTTCAAGATGGGGAATTGTGGACAATTATATTGAATGGACTGAAAGATTCCAAGGAATCGACGAGAAAACAGGCGATGTTTGTCTTTAAAATTATCGCCGAATTCCTCTGCAAAGAAGATGAGTATTTTGGAAAGACTTCCCAGCTTCCGAAATTGATCCAAAGCGATGGATCTGTTTCGCGGACTAAACAAATTCCATTCACTTGCAACTCAAATCGAGAATCAATTTCAGAAGTGAGAAAAAATTTTATTCTCATTCTTGAATCACTGGAGGAGAAGAAACAACATCTTGTAATTCCCACTTTCTCCATTTTGAGCAATCTTCTGGTAGCTTATCAAGATCATCAGCAATGTTCCGATTGTTTCGAGTTCAGATGGTTGGGGTGTATTTTTGAAAAAATTCTCCGTCACGAGAGCAATACGATTGTCAAACTTGGAGTATCGTTTATCCTTCAGCTAAATCCCAATGATTACGACGATAATTTTATCAGTCTGTTAGCGAATGCCTTGAACAATCGTTTTTTGTACGAAATCGAAGATGATGACTACGATGGACCAAAAATTTTTTATGAACTCTGCCGGTTTCTCGAGAAATTTGAGAATGGATTCATTGACAAATTTTTATCATCGATTTCCAAAGTTTCCTGGGATCCAATTTCTATTTTTTATGTGACTTTATCACTTGCAAGGGGAGAGATTTCTTGTCAATGTTCTCGGGAGAATTTAATGAGTCTCAAGAAATTGGTGGAGGGAAATCTTTGTCATCATTCGCTATTATTGAGAAAAGGATCACAAAGAAACATCATCATTGCAATTACTCGTTGGAAATGGGAGGAAATTGATCTAAAAGCTTTGGCAAGTTTTCTCGTCAGTTTCCCGAAAGATGAATGCCTTCAACTTAATTCGGAATGCTGGCGAATGATTGTCGATCTATTGGGCAAATTTTCCATCAGTGGGACAGAATACATTCGCGAATGTTGTGAAAATATTGGCGAAAATCGTGAAATAAATATCGAATCATTTGCCAGGATGTTAGCAATTCTTGAAGATTCACATCATCTAAGTGAGGAAAATGCTTTCGGAGATTTAGTACAATTATTCTATAGCATTCATAACGTGAATTCGCGTCTCTACCTGAATCATGAGTTAGCCCAAAGTATTTTAGAATTGTTCTTCTCTTTAGTGGATTATGAAAACTTTTCCAAATTCCTCCTACCATTTTCAACCGACGTTCTTGATTTTTTAACGATTGCTGGAAAATCACCAAATCTCCGAATTGACAAATATTTGCCGTATTTCCAAAAAATTCCTCTTCTCTTAAGGAAGGAAAATCTCATCGGGAAGCTGGACCAAGAGGCATTGTACTGTTTAAATGCTAATTGTCCACCGTTACGAAGACTATTCGGCATTAAGATGCTCGAGATTTGTCAGAAACAAAGAAACGGATTTTTAACTAAGGAAATTTTTGACATTTTCTTGAAGAATTTTTCAATTCCTTTGATGTTTGAAGAAGAGAAGAGTTTCGTCGAAATTAAGGGCAGAGCAACAATGGAATATTATTTGACTTTTACAAAAATTCTTCACCTTTATTTGGCAACGACTTGCAGTGATATTCCGAATAGTCTTACGATTGCTTCGGAATTATTCGATAAATCTGGAGTTTGTGGGGTGCCATTCGTAACTGGAATAGTAGCAGAAATTGTAGGACAAAAAATATTTGTTGATAGTAAAGATTTTGGGAGTGTGAAAAATTTAATGGACATATGTTGGAAATCCATTTTTCTGGGAAAGAAGAACAGATATTTTTGGATGACTCTGGACAATATATTTCGAGTTCTCTTATGTCCAAATTTCTTTCAAGTTGAGACGACTTTTGTACTTGAGGTAAAATTTTCTTTCTCTGCATATAGTTTGAAATAGTTTTAAATATTTCTAATACTTTAGGCTCTGGTAATTTTACTTCTACTAATAAAATTTGAAAAATGACCCTTAACGAATTTCTTTAATTACAGTTGCTAACCTCAATTCTAAATCAAGGAGACACGGCGCCTAGAATAAAGATCTATCTATTGGAACAATTATCTAATTTAGAAACAAAATGTCTTTTCCTGTTTCAAGAGGCGATTTTAAATTGCATCCTTCATGGGCAAGCGCTACGTAAAGACGCGAAAATTGAATTACAAGCACTTGAATTTCTATCTAATGGAAATGTTGATACTACAAAAATTTCTAATTATAATATTGACAGTGAAATTAGAGCGCGTGGAATTATTTTACTTCATCGAGCAGTATGTGAAAATGAAGAATTTGCCATTGTAATTTTTCACCATGCGCTTAAGATTTTTAAAAAATACAAAGACAAACGTTACTTTGCCGACTCAAATTCACATCGAATTCAACAGAGAATTTGTCAAATTTTATTAATATTGGAACCAATTTTAAATGAGGTAAATATTATGGTTCTAAAATAAAATTTCGTAGTAACTAAGTAACTGACATTTTTATTTAAATCAAGGAATGCAGGATACTATTGAAAAACGAACTAATTGATATTCTGCTCTCGAATACTGCTGATCAACCAAGTATTCAAATAATGATGTCCTGGATTTTGTCGAAAATTTTTTCCTATCAAAAAAGTGATCCTAGTGAATTGGTCAATTTCTTCAAACAGGTTGGATTAATTTTTTAATATTCTTTAAATATTTTTTTAACGTCAATTTGTTACATAATAATTATTTTAAATCTCAATTTATACTACACTTCTGAATTATTAAATTTTCTCTTTCCTTTTCTTTTGGCCTTTAATCAGAGCTCAGCTGTTATTTGTGTATTATGGTGTATCTTAGTATATTTGTACTCAGTTGACCTTATTTTGAATTTCTTATACTTTTAATTTCATTGAAATTATATTTCTTATTGTCAAAACTGTATTTGTTAATTATTATTTATTACAATTTTGTTATTTGTTAGTTACAACTTTGTTTGATAATAGTTTATAGATAAAATGCTTGGATTCAGGATCACCACGCAACGCGTAATTACAGTGTTATTAATCGAAAAAAAACATTATATTTTAACAGTTCTTCTAAATATTAATTGTTTAGACAACGATTTCCCATTATAAAAAATATACATTATAAAAGATAAATATGAGAAAATATTGTTTTACGCACTTTTTAGGTTATTTGACACAACGGAAAAAACCAGACAGAATGACGCAATGGAAAATAGTAAAGGCGGACGCGCAATCGTACTCGCGCATGCGCTTTGAAACTATAACATGACAATACCGCGAAAATTTAAAAATTCAAATTCTTAAGTACAGACAAAATGAAATTACTTTGATCTCGTTAATTTATACTAATTGACATTATACTATTATTAATTATTAGTTAATACTATATTAAAAATACGTCACGACGACGTGACATAATTACTTTTCTTATAATTTTACCCTGAGGGAAAGAAAATATCATTTTTTAAAATTGATATTTGCAGATCAAAGAAAAACGACCCGGCAATTTGAAATTTGCTGCTGGAGTGATTCTTCAAATTTCGAAACTTTTAAAAGAGGATGATGATAATTTTAATAATTTCTTTACAACTGCTATATCACTCCTTGCTCCTGAATGTTTGGGGCCAACTTTCAATACTCGTCTCGTTTGTCAGGTATAGAAATTTGCAAAAGCAATTTTGTTTAAAATAAAAATTAGTTTTTTAAAAAATAATAAAAATTAATTTTTTTAAATTAATAAAAATTAATTTTTTAAAATTAATAAAAATTAATTTTTTAAAATTAAAACTTTCTGTTTATGATGAGATTATTAATTCTTACAGATAGTTATTGTGAAACTTTATAAAAGACTGAATTACAGTGATAATTTATATAAAGCAACAATTGAAACATTAAATCAGAGAAATTTTTCAATTGTCAACGAATTTTATTACGAGGACTTCCATTTATTAAACAATTACAACTTACAGGTTTGATGGGCAAATTTTTATTTTTAAATCAGTTTCTTAACTTTCAATTTTAGGAAAAATATACTAAAATTTAAAATAAAATTTCAATATTTTATTTAAATTAATCTATTTTCAGTCTATTTATTACGATGTTCCACGTTTAGCAAATATGAGTAGCGATGAATTAATTTCACCAACCGAATTTGAAAATTATGGATTTATTCAGTTGGAAAAACATTCGCTCACATTATTTGATAATTCTAACTCATTGACCCGTTTACAATTGATTCGAAATAAAGTTAAATCGCAAGGATCGCAAGGTTAGTAAATAAAATATCGTAGGTTAATTGTAGGTTATTGCAGGTTTAGTAATGAAGAAATAGGTTCATTAATGAAGAAATCATTTTTACAAAGTGTCTTACAATATTGTATTGAAAGAAAATATTTATCAAAATTAATAATTATAAAATATAAAGTAAATAATATTAAATATTTATGTAATAATATCAAATATTTATGTAATAACAAATTAAATATTCAAATTTATATTAAAAATTAATAGAATCTAATCTTAGAAGATATTTTAATAAATAAAGATTGAAACTTTTTCCAGCAGAAAAGAATGAAGAGTTGAAGAACGATTGTTTGGTAGATCTACAGAAAAAAATTGTACCTGATAAATTGGCAATTTTTAATAATACTGACAGTGAAGAAATGACTAAAAATGAATCGATAATTGTCGTTGCATCATTAGTTGAGAGAATTCCAAATCTCGGTGGAATTGCAAGAACATGCGAAATATTTGGCGCCGGCGAATTAGTAATAGCAAATAAAATGTTTATTGAAAATAAGGAATTTCAATCACTAAGTGTCACGGCTGAAAAATGGATAAAAATCACTGAGGTTCTTTCTTCTTCTTTTAAATCTTTATATATAATTAAATTTTTTTAAAAATTTTACTAATTTGCTATTTTTACTAATTTGTCTTAAAATAAATATTACTTTTCTCTACATACATACAATAATAATTTTATTTCTCCATTGCTCTTTCATAGGTAAAACCTCAAGAATTGTCTAAATATTTACTGGAAATGAAGGAAAATGGATGGAAATTAATAGGATTGGAGCAAACCATTAATAGTTGTACTCTTTTGGAGAAAAAGTTTGAGAGGAAAACTGTTTTACTACTTGGGTAATGATTGCAATGTTTTTTAAAATTTTTTGAATTTGATACCTTGTATTCCGCAGACCTAGATTGTAGGGGGGTTGGTATAAAAGAGAAAAAAACGTTTTGCGAGGTCTTCATTTTTTGAAGTAAATAATTTCTTTCTCTTCATTTTACAGAAACGAGAAGGATGGAATTCCACCAAATTTGATACCAATTTTGGATAATTGTGTAGAAATACCACAAGTTGGAATCATAAGATCTTTAAATGTTCACGTGACCGGTGCAATTTGCATTTGGGAATATGCGAAGCAACATTGTTTTAATTAAGAGTATGATAAATTACAATGAACATTAAAAGTGTACGTAAATGAATTCAACTATTTTTATAATGCTCCAAAAAAATAAAAAGACTCCAGCATTTTTGTAACAAAATGATTTTATTATTTTTTTTTATAGAATACACATCGACTAACTACTTTCGAATTTAATTAGCGAGCTTTGCTAAGATCTGCGCTCATTGCAAAAAAATACCATCGACCCTATCTCGGATTCATATTATTTATTTTTAACGGCTTACGTGTGTTTTTTAGGCCGTCACCTCTCCAAAAATCCGAGACAAAATAAAGCAAAATCGCGTGTTTTTTTTTGTATTTTATTCAAGAGACGTCCTTTCTTCGAGAAATATCTTTTTTCTTATTTTTATTTTAATTATTATTAATAACTATTATTATTTATTAATAGTATATTACTATTATTATTATTATAACTATTATTATTTATTACTGTTTATCGTAAACTTTCTACCGCTCGTTTATAAATATCGAAGGTTTGGAAGCCTGTGACTAACTAAACATCTCCCACAAAAAAAAAAGAAAAAAGAAGAAAATTTAGATATGATTTTCGGAAAAAATGACGTCTCCTAGTTAAAAATATGTAGTTTTGTTATTGAAAAATTTACAATATCAAAAAAAGCTCAACTCTTTCTCGCGAAAGATAACAAAGTTAAACTTCCTTCCGCAAGAATCAAGAAGGCGGGCTCTCTCTCTTTCTCTCTCTGTCTCTCTCTTCTCCTTTTCTCTACTATCATCGAACGCAAACGCCCCTGGATTCTTTCTTCGATTATTTAAAAAGAAAACCGAGTTCACTAGAAGGTAAAATTCAACAGAACTTGGTTTCTTGAAAATTATGATTTTTCTTTTTCATTAAATCTCTTTCTCTCTCTTTCACACACTCATTTTCTCATTAAGATACATTTAGTGGATTCTCACCGAAAAAAGAAAAAAGAAACACGTGTTTAAAAAGGGGTATTTACATTCGAGAAGGATAGTAGTCGCGATTGTGATTTGAAGAAATTCGCAATTTTTGAAAAGGCGATCAATTATTGGCGTTTCGCCTCTGTAATGCTGCCGCTAAATCTTGTCTAAGTGCGGCCTGTTGCTTTTGATCAGCGAGCGATTGAACGGATCTCAATCCATTAACAATGTCCTTTGTTTTGCCAAAATAAATTTCATTCAATGTATTTCTTATTTTATTCTCCATGTCCTCCACCAAGCGACCGATATTTACAATATGCGGCGACGTTTCCGTTATTGCTGCATCAAGTTCGACCTGAAAAAATCAATTTTCATTTAAAACCGAAATAAAGACCAAAAGACAATTATTATATAATTTTAAACTCTTTGAGTAAATGTTTATAAAAATTATTTTTAAATATTTAAATTTATAGATTTAAATATTTCATCATCTTAATAATTTATCGACCGAGTTATAGCATCATTACCATATATATTTAAATATTTAAATTTAAAGATTTAAATATTTAGAAAATATTTTTCCCAACCTGTCTAGTGAGACTTCCGCCGAGATTCATCGTTCCCGATCCATGTTTATTTGTCTGAAGCCAGAGCATTGCCGTCGAGGTTAATTTATAATGAGCGTTTCTTCCCGTTGATTTCTCCTGCACTTCGACAACGTGTATTGAGTCCCAGCATCCCTTGATTTTCTTTGAACCATCGCCGGCTTTTTTGATGAGAATTACACCGGCGAATCCATGATCCAAATCCCAAAGATAAACGGATGATACTCCACCCTCGAAATATAATTCTCTATATTGATCGAATGCATGATTTGCGTCTACTTCTAGTTTTCTTAGCCTTTCTGATGGCATCGAACCGTCCTCGAGTGGAGGATCGTATGCATTACTCCACGGTGATCTTCGAAAATAAACCAAAAAAGATTCTCATTAAGTATCTCTTGAATAATTTAATGTAAAATTATAATTAAGTACCCAGGGTTGACACAAAAATTTAATTTTCTTTTTCCCTGATTTTCAGGCAGAATTTTCACTTTTTATCCTAACACTAAAAAAATTAAAAGTACCCTAACCCTAAAAAATTAAATTTACCCTGACCCTAAAGAACTAAAGTTAAAATTATCCAACGGCCTCATTAGAAACTAGAATTTTATTAAACAATTAAAGAAATTATTTAAATAAGAAAAATAAAAATTGAATATTTCTTAAATTTGAATTCTTATAAAAAACTTAACATTTTTTAAATTAATTGAATTTTTATGAATTGCATTAAAATTTTTGATAATTAAATTATGTCAAGAAATGTAATTAAAAATGAATTGAAAATAATTATTACACTCTAAGAAATAACTTATATGAAATTCTTTTTAATAATTGAATTTTTTCGAAGAATTTCATCCAAATTTTTAAGAATAATATTGCGCTTTTCGCGGAATTAATTTAAAATTGTATTAAAAATAATTAAAATCCTGCGATGAGTTTTATTATAATTTATGAAAATAATTGAATTTTTGTCACCGAACTTTAATAAAGTTTTCAAAATAATTGCATTCTTGAGAACAATTTTTAAAAATAATCTTTTTAAAAGAAATGATTTTTTTAACAAAAATTTTATGAAAATTGTGTTTTATATAATTGAATTTCTTTGAAAATTGTATATTATTTATAAAAATAATTCAATTCTTTCAAAAAATTTGAAAAACATTACATTGAAAACAATTCAATTGTTATAAAGAATTTCATTAAATTTTTTTTAAATATTTGAATTCTTTCTCATTTCAATTCAATTATTTTCTACAATTTTTAAATAAAATGCTTCTTTAAATCAATTATTTTTATTAATTTTTAAAAAAGTTCTTCTTTGAAAATTTTTAAATACATTTGTTTACAATTCAATTTCACGTAAAATTTTAATTTTTTCGGAAATAAAAGTATGAACAATTCAGATTTTCAAAGGTTGTAATTGTAATTACAATTAATTTGTATCAGCAAATTTTTAAATAATTAAATTCTCTTGACAAATTTTAATAAAATTTTTAAGAATAAATACATTTATCGAGGAATTTGATTAAAATTGTAATTAAAAATAATTTAAATTTTGCAGAGAATTTTATTTAAATTTTTGAAAATAATAGATTTTTGGAGAAGAATTTTATTATTTGGAAAGATAATTGAAATTTTGACGAGAATTTTAAAAAAATGTTGAACATAATTGAATTTTTGAGAAGAATTTTATTACTTTTGGAAATAATTGAATTTTTGTAAAGAATCGTTTGAAACTTTTTTTATAAAATTCTTCGCAACAATTCAATTACTTTCATAAATAATCAAACTCATTGCAGAATTTAAATTATTTTTAATACAATTTTAATCAAATTCTTCGAAAAATGTAATTATTTATAAAAGTATTATTAAAATTCGTCGAAAGAATGAACAAATTATAATTTATGAAAATAATTGAATCACTGTAAAAAATTTGATTATTTAAGAAAATAATTGAATTATTGCGAAGAAATGTATGAAAAATTTGTTAATTGAATTCTTGCGAAATTTTTATAATTTTTGAAAATAATTGAATTTTTGCGAAGAATTTTATCAAAAATGTTATTATTTCTAAAAGTAATTAAATTTTTGAGAAAGATTTTATGCAAAACTTTTGGAAATATGTAATTGAACTTTTTTGAATCATTTCATGAAAATTTCAAAGCATAATTTAATTATTTTTGAATAATATTATTAAAATTCTATTAAAAATAATTGAAAAAAATAAATTTAAGGTAGCAGTTACTAAGACTTTGAGTGCCATTCGTTTTATTTAACGAATTCTTTTGCAAATTAATATGAATCATTTCAGATATTAGACGTTTGCTTTCATTAGTTTCTTTGTCAAGTATATGAAATTTATCCCAGTCAAGATTATGATTAAGTGAACTTCTATGAGTTGCAGTAACACCGACTTTTGAATTTTCGTGTTCATTGATACGTATCCTCGTCATTCTTTTAGTTTCACCAACATACGATGCGGTACAATCTTCATATTGAATTTTCCGATTTTTTGTTTATATCCTTGCCTTTTTTAATTAAATTTATGACTAAAAGCATGATTATTAGTGGGAGCAGATAAAATATTGTATTTTAAAGATTCTCTCGTTTATATACCTGTAGGAATCTCCGTCTCTGTTATAATCACAGAGAAGATAATCTCTTCCCGATTCCTTATCTTTAGCTATTTTCAGAGGCTGATCTATTGATGAGAGTAAATCCTCACATAGCGAAGGAACCAAATCAATTAAGTCGCTTAAATTTTTTTCAATATGTTGAGGTGGCAGCCTCCGCATTAAATCTAAAGCGCAATCCATCTGTTTTTCCGTCTGAAAATAATTAACAGATTAAATTTCATTTTCAAAATTAGTTTTAACATTTTTAATATTTTTAATACTTTTCATAAATTTACATTAAAAAATAAATAAAAAATAAGAATTTTAATTTTTTAAAATTTTATTCTTTAAATTTTAGTCTCTAAAGAAATGTTTCACACTATAAAAAATAATTGAAAAATTAAAACTGAAATAAGTACTAAATTTTCTGATTTAGAAGCATAAATTTTGGACGTCTCGAGTATAATAAAGAAAAAAATTGTCTCGTTCTATTTTAAGATCATTCGAACGCTCAAAAACTGGGAAAGTTTAGAAACAATAACAGTGACCTCTTTTAAAAGCGAACGAATCAAATGACCTCAATTTTTTTCCATTGCAAATAACTAGATAGATGTAAAATTTCATTCATGTACAAAATTTAAACAATTTATTAAAATTTTCTTCGAAAAATAAAATAATTTTTTTTAAAATGAAAAAAAACCGTTTCAGATTCTAACCTCAAAAAATACAAAAAGAAGAACATAAAATATTTCCATTTTCTGAAAAAGACTTAAATTACAATTGAAATTATTCCCAAGATAGTTTTTTTCACCCATTAATTATAAGCTTTTGAAAAGAAAATTTTAAGTATAAAAAAACAAACAAACTTTCTTTCCGAAATAAACAAAGAGGAATTTTTAGGTTAGGCCATTTGTACTTTATATGTTAATAAAACTGTTGAAATAGAATTTTGAGATAATTTTTCAAATTTATTATTAATTAGATAAATTGAAATAGAGAAGTTGAAAATAAATTTGAAAAGTAGCTGAGAAATTTTTAACTGAAAAATTGACAGTGAAAATATGATAAGAGAAAAGAAAAAATAGCGAATGACAACTCACCATTTTAAATCGATGATTAAATCTGATTTTTGAGCAAAATTAAAATTCCAAATTAAATTATTTTATAACAATTGAATTAAATTAATGGGAAATTCTTAATGACCGTCACAAGGGGTTTTTGCGAAATTTTTTTTGGGGATTTGTGAAAAAAATAACATTTATAGGGTGTGTCAAGTGTCAGTGAACCGCACTCGTGACACAGACACATACAACCAAATTGCCAACTATTTCTAATTTCTAGTGATAAATTTTATTGTGGGGGATTTTTAGGGACTTTCTTTTTTGCACAGTGTGTTTATTAAAAAACAAGGGTTTGTTAACATCGAGATATTTCGAGTTCGAGTATGACGTCAGAGGGAAAACGAACAGACGACACAATCAAAAAATGATTTTGAAATTTCTTTTCAATGTTTTGCAGATTTAATGGATTTTAAACACTTTCTGTCTACATATATGTAATTGAAATCGGGACGTGTGAATTTCATCGTAATTTAGCAACGGTAAATTATTAAAATTAAACAGTACAACAACTTGTGAAAATATGGTTTAAAGACGCATAGTGCTTACGATTAAATATAAAATTCTTTATTGAAAGAAATTTTCAAGTGTTCAATGTTTAACGTCAAATTTTTTTAATAACCTAACCTCACTTTCTAGTGAGATTTTGAGAATCAACAATTTAAATATTAATTTTAGTTTTATTATATATTACACGAAAGTAAAATTTTAATGCAAAGTAAAGAAAATATAAGTTTAAATCTTCATATCCATCCGAAAATGTTATAAATTTAAACAGTTTTTAAATTTTAACAATTTTAATAACCATTAACCATCTAAAAATAAAAAAATTATCAAGAGGGTTACCGTGTTATAATGTTAAGCCTATTTCACACGTAAATACATAAAATATAAAGGTCGATCCCCACATATTAATTGAAAATATAATAGACTAGCTCCTCCGACGGCCGCAAGCGGCCGTCTACGGTGCTAGTTTTTATATGTCCATTGTCCAAGTCCATTATTTCATTAATAATAATATTCAAATTTTTTCAGTTAATAATTTGCTTATTTATATTTGAAATGTTGACGTTTTTTTTGACAATGCAAAATAAGATTTATTATGAGTACTTTCTCTTAACAAAAATAAAATTTATATATTCGCGCTCTCTTTAAATAACATACGACTGCAGCGCCACCTTCACATGTACAAACAATTTTAAAAACACCCTTCTATTAAGATTTTACATTCTCATTGCCCATTCTTTACTTCGATACTTTTCGATACATTCGACCTTTCCACTCCATGTCTTTTTTAAGAAAGGAAAAAGAAAATTGTTTATTTCATAAATAATAAAGAGAATTTACAGAAAATAGAGTAAAGTATGACAAAAAATTAATGTATGATGTATGATAATTAATTAATTATTAATTAATTTTTTTAATATTAATATTCAAAAATTTAATCTTATACCGATTTTTAACCGTTTTTCATTAAGTTTGATGGATAAAAGTTATGGAGCTCTCACAGCTCTGCCTGCCTGCGCAGGCAGTAATTGGAGTAAGAGAGAAAATCAATTAGAGTGAAAGAGATAGTAAATTCAAATTTGTATGCTGCCTACTAGCTGTGAGAGCGCCTTTACTGGGAAATTTTCAAAACTAATTCCAACTTTTATTTAATGATTTTCCGGTAAAAAAATGAAGAAAACTCTTTGTTTTACAGATTTTTCCAATTTTGATGTCAACAATTTTGATCCAGTTGAATAATTCAAAATTAATGTCTCAATAAAGTAGACAATATGTCGTCAATAGAAATTCAGTCCTTACAAAATGCGTGTTTCTCAGGTGATGAGGGGACAGTAAAAAATATTCTTTCTCAGAACAATTTTAATAATTACCTCGCATCATCTTCTGGTTATTCACTGCTTTGTAGTATGCTCAAAAATTCTGTTTATTCATCACAACGTCATGACGAATTACAAGTAGAACGCGCAATGTACGAACAACATTTAGCCAAGTTTCTCGAAATTTCCAAACTTCTTTTGCAACATCCCGTGAAAATAAATGACGAATCTCAAGAACGCGATCATACTCCACTTCATTTTGCTGTAGAAATTGGAAATTTGGAAATCGTCAAAATTTTACTAACGAAAGGAGCTATTGTTAATGCAACAAATAATAATTCAGATACACCTCTACATATTGCTGTTTCAGAAAAAAATAATCCTTCTGAAAGTGTTATTCAACTTTTACTCGAAAATGGAGCTGATGTAAAAATTCAAAATAAATTAACTTGTACACCTTATGATTTGAGTGTTAATTCAAGTATTAAGCGTATTTTGTCACAGCATGAAATAAAAATGCTTCTTAACAGTGATTGGGCAATTGAGAAAAAAGATTTTGAAGGTTACACATCATTACATAGAGCGGTGGATAATGACAGGTATGATCTTGTTGAATTTTTACTATCTAGAGGATTTGACGTGAATGCTGAGACAGAATTTAAAGAAACACCTCTACATTTTGCTAGCGAAATGCGTCATGAAGAAATTACGCTTCTTCTTTTACAAGCAGGTGCAAATATTAACGCTACCTCTGATACAAAAAACACTCCATTGCATTTGGCAGTTGATTATAAACCCCCTGAAAGCTGTGCTGAATTTCTAGAGATGCTCGTTAATAACGGTGCTAATTTAACAGCTAAAAATGATTGTGGTCTGATTCCCTTGGATTACGCCATTGATAATAATTCTTTGATTGAGGCCACAATTCTCCTGGGTAAAAATCCAAATAATTGCGATATGTCTCTAAAAATGTCATTTTGTCATTCCTTTCTAGCTCCCTTTTTTGGTTCAGTAAATGGTAGTGAAATTTTCAAAGAGTATGAGTGTAAAACAGAAGTCCAGTTAATCAGTGAATTGTTTTATAATCATGGTTTTAGGATTACGACCGAAGACATAAAGAATATGCCCATTCCAGAAAGATTTCCATATTTCAATCTAACTCGTTCAACGATGAAAGAATCTAGAAGCATTGTGCAAGAGCTTTTAAATAAAGAAGAAACATCCTGTGAAGAAAAAATGAGACAAGATTTAGTAGAGTATTATGTATTAATAGGCGTCATTAAATATGGATTTATTGACATTTTCTATAATTTATTACCAAATGTTTCTAACTTTAATACTTGTTTGCTTGATGGTTTAACATTACTGCATCATGCCTGTGGTAAAGGACACTTAATTATTGTTAAAGAACTTTTGGCACGTGGTGCCAATGTAAATGGAGGTGAAAATAAATTTTCACCCCTTCATGTATCAGTAAAATACAATTTCGTAGAAATTACCAAAACTCTATTAACTAAAGATGTTAATATCAATTCTTGCAATAACTACAATGAAACCCCACTTTTTGTCGCAGTTTCAGAGAAGAGTTTCAAATGTATTCAATTACTTCTCGAAGCTGGCGCTGACGTTAATTTTTCTCACAAGTACAAAAATTACGGTAGTAGCGTTTTGAAAAAAAACATAAATATTACAAAACTTCTTCTTCACTATGGTGCCACTTACTCTCAATGGGAAACCGAACCATTATTTGAATTTTCAACATCTTTTCCATCTACATTTCATCCTCACGAAGTTGAAGAAATGAAAAACATGAAAATTGGTGAATCTGATGTGACAGTTTACGATCTTCTAACTATGTCACATAGACGACTTTCTATTTTAATGCGAAATGAAAATTTTCTCCACTCTATAAATTCACTTGATTTTGAAACTTTATTTCCAAATTTTGCCCCTAGATTTGAGGTCCATGTAAATAAAGCAAAACTTGAGAAGCGATTAATAGAATTAAGTTACGATTGTTTTCAAACTATGGTAAAATTTCAATTACCTATTCTTGTTATGAATGAAATTATATCGTACTTGAACACTGCAGATTTACATCGACTTGTAATCGCTTCACCAATTAAATCAGAAATGAAAAAAACTGTGCAATTCCAAAGTTCCGAATAGGCTGAGAATTTAATAAATTAATATACATTTCTGCAATTCTGAAATTTTAATACAAACTTATTTGATTATAAGAATTTCGTATTATTTGTAATATCAAATGAATGTAACAAATCTAATAAAAATTATATAACACTGTGTGACGGTAAAAAATTATTTCAAATCGGACCTATCATAACGTGTTCATCTTGAGGAACTAAAAAAAATGGTGTGTACTCAAAAAATTAAATTTAATTATTTTTAAAAAATTCAATTTAAAACCTCCTGACATTCAATTATTAAAAAAAAATTAAATTTAAAACCTTGTACAATTTGATTAATTGCAGAACTTGAAGAAAATAAAATTCGACATCTTTTTTCTTCTATAAAAATTTTTCAATTTTTTTTCTTTCAAAAATAATGAGAAAGCACTGCATTTTTAAAAATGATAGAATTATAGTTTTTTAATTTCAACTCGTGATATTTTGGTTAATTTTTGATAAAACAAAAAAAGAAATTAAAGCTTAGAATGTTCCAAAACTAAATGAAGCATAGAAAAAAACAGTTTTATAAAACCAAAAATAATCATTTTTTTCAAAACAATGTAAAAAATATAGTTTTACGCTTCGTTTATTTGAAAAATTTTAAGACCTGACAAACTTCCAGTGAGAAAGTTGTTCATTAATAAGTAAAGAAGTTTTCTGGAAAGTTTTATTAATATTGGATAAAAACTTAAAAAGTTAGTAACATTTAAAGTTCCGAGCGCATCCTAACCTTAAAGTTTCTGTGATGTTTCGTGAACAGGTTTTTAAAGAGTATTTTTCACTCTTCGAAATAATTGAACTCTTTAATTAATATTCAACTATTTGCAATAATATATATTTGAGTCGTTTAGTATAAGTTACAAAAATGCGTCTTACTTTCTTTGACGTCGTTTTGGCGGATACATCTTACCTTGTTACATTGCCATGAGCTCTCTGAATACAGTCAATAGTGGTCAATTCATACTTTGGTAAAACAAAAGTTGGGCAACAAATCCAACTCGTTAATCGATATATCGAAACTGCACGAGCTCTGTAAACTTTTCGATCGCAGCGCTCCATTAGGAAATAGCCGGAACTAAAAAGATTCGAAAATCACTAGTCCCTCCTCTGAACCCAATTTGTATGAATGTGACTAGTGTCATGGCAGCTACTATAGCTGTCAGACACTTTCATGAGAATTAAAGATCACAGTCTTTATAATTTCAAAAGTTGTTTTCAACGATAAGATCCCAAGTAGGAACAGTCTAGCTTCGGGTGATTGTTTTCTTTTTAAAACAACGAGCAGTGCGCTCGTTTAAAGTGGTAAAAATAATGGGAAGAGATGGGCAAGCGTTTAAACGAAGACGGTATTAGCGATCGGACAGAATTATTAGTACCAATATTAACGCAAGAAATAACATATTCCGCTTCCGCCGCGATGGTGGATTCGCGATCGCGATCAACTCGTCTTCGTGGAATTGTCGGCATTTGTCTTCTGCTTGCATTAACTGGTATCGTTTATCTTGGATATTTCTGTCCCGATCACGTGTGCGCTCTCACTAATCGCGATCCTAAGGAAACTGCAAGAGTTATCGGTACAAATCCATCCTCTGAAATTGTTAGTAATTCTATTGGAATATTAGATTCGCGCTCGAATTTACGATTACAAAGCGTGCCCGGTAGTCTCGGTTATGATGATCTTTTCACCAATGATTCCTCACAATTTGACATTAATGCTCACGATGTTATGGTTTTTCTGCATATCCAAAAAACTGGTAAGTATTCTATTCTAAAGACAATTTTTTTTAATTTATTCTTGAAAAATGCCTTACTTTGTAAAAAACGAAAGCTATGATGTACTTTATAAAAATAATTATATTGATTAGTTCATTGACAATTAATAAACATCTAAGACAATAACGAATTAGGGGTTTTAATTTTGATTTCGCACGCAGAGTTTTAATTTATTTAAGCATTTTTTAAAAAATTTCTGTGGTGTGTTATTATAAATGTGTGTCATCATAATGTCCATGTTTATCAGTGTTAATTTATTTATTTAACTATGATGTTAATGTTTATTTATTTATTACAAAATTGGTTTTATAATCTTTTATAGTTGACTCCAAACTCTATGTTTTCTTTAACATTTGATGGGTGAATTTATTTATTTAGTAAATGTATACGGGCTTACAAAGAAAAAAATGCCCTTTAGTACAAATAGTACTTAGAATTAAATATAAGTACAAAAAAAAGAGAATGTCTAGTGAAACAATAATAAAAATAACAATAAGTGTACGTTTTGTAGCTAATTGTTTACAAATCTTTAACCAACAAACGCAAAGCAGAAATGAAAGAAAATAATGGTAAGTTAAAGAAATCTAAGTCAGTACAAAAAGTATTAGCTTCACTGCAAATTCTACGGTAAATTGAATTTTCACCATAGTTTGTTCTATGAAAATTGATTTTAAAAAGTTTAGTATTTCTAGATTATCTTGAAGGTGCTGAAAAATTGATGTTCACAAAAATCTCAGGACAGTCCACATAATTGTTAAGTACTCGATACAAAAAAATTAAATCCGAATACAGAAAAATTAATGAGATTTTTGGTATATTAAACAATTTTCTCAGGCCAGAATAGTCATGATTTGTTATGTCTCTAGTTATTTTTAATTGTTTCGCGAGGAAGCAAAGAAATTTGTTTTGTACACGTTCAAGACGTAGTAGACTATCTTCTTGATAAGGCCACCATAAAATTGAATTACATATTGAGTTAGAACGTACAAGAAAATAATACAAAGTTTTGAATATTGACAGTCTAAAGAAATCCAGTAAACAAAAACTAATTGAAATAAATTAAAAAAAATTCACAAAGAGTTTCAGTGAATCCCGCTTTGTGACAAATACGAATTGGAGCTATGTTGTAATTTTCCAGAATTCGTCAAACTGTATTGAACTTCCAAACCTTCTATTCTTACTAATTCAATGGACAGGTTTTGGGGCCTTTAATTTTTTTTAATTCGTCAGCACGAATTCAATGCATGCCTTGATCATTTCTTACGAATGCGAATTCGTTTGCACAACTTCAGGCAAATTGAATCAAATTCAATCGAATATACAAAGAGCTTGAATGAATCCCGCTTTTTACCAAAAATCTTAATTCATTTCAATCCGTTTGAATTAGTTTTTTTTACTGGGTAAGGAATTTATTTTTATTTTTTGCTGACGAATGTTTATTAATTAATTTTTTTGACTCCCTGAAGAGGAAATCATTTAGAATTCGAAACGTTAGAGTAAACTAATTTTTAAAAACTATTTGTCCGAATGTTTTCGTTTTATTCTCCTTCACTATAAGACAATAACTAAAACTAAACTCAGGCATCACAGTTGGGCCCCTTTTGTCCCCTTATTTCAATTTTATCACCTTTTTTTGACGATTTGTCACCTTTTTCCCCTTTTTTTTTGCTAATTTGTCCCCTTTTTCTAATCAAAAATAAGGAAAAATAATTAACATTCAAATAATTGAAATATCATTATTAATAGTATTTTCTAGAAAAAAAATCATTGTTTTTAGTTTGAAAATGCTAAAAAAATCATTGCTATTCAATTTTTTACATGCACTTGTTTATTTTTCTAACTAATTTCAAATCATAATTTTTTTTTCAAATTAAAAGTATAAAATACAAAAAAAATTATGATTTTGAAATTAGTTTGAAAAATAAACAAGATTTTCTTAATAGTTATAATAATTTATGATAAATGTTCATTCACATTTCATTAGTTTATCTCATTTTCTACTAATTCCTCAAAATAAAAATTTATATTGAAATATAAAACTAAAAATAGAATATCAATAGATATAAATTATTTGCATTTTTTTACAATAAAGTTATCATGTACGTGGATGATAAGATATTTAAAGTTTATTGAAAATTGCTTGGTATTAATTACACTTAAAAAAATGTTCAAATCATCATTGCTTTTCTCTTTTTATAAAAAGATTTCAAATTAAAATGATTGTCAATTGTTTACAAAATTTCTGTAAAAAATAAAATTTTATAAGAGACAATTTTTCAACAAATAGAAGAGTTTTTTTATTTTAATTTTTCTTAAAACTTATTCTTTTCAAAATTTTTCTCAATTTCAAAAAAGCAAATTAAGATTGATATTAAATTTTTACTAGTTGCTTTTTGTTATTATATATTTAGTATATAATGATAATATAAATTATTTTCTATAAAGTAGGAAATTTTACTAAATTTTAACAATATTATGGATTAAAAATAAAGTTAATAAAAAATTAATAATTATGAATATAATTTTACAGTTTTAATTCCTTTTTTTAAATTAAGTTATTGGAAGCAAAAAAAATATGGATTCTGAGAATTGTTTTCAAAATTAAAGGGTCAGAGTATGATTTGAACCGAAGTAATAAAGTAATTTATGTTGAAAAGTCATTTTAAGTTGTAATGAAATGCAATATGAAAGTGCACACGCACAGTTATTTATTCTATGTAACTATATGTATATATGTATGACTCTTGTGAAACATGGTGCGTTGACATTCCGTCTATAAAAAGATGTAAAACTTTGTTTTTTTCTTTGCCTAAAGCCACTTAAACTTCACATACTGGCCATGTGCCAAAGAAATGACTATAAAAAAGAAACAATACGTTTGCCTTTTTGGAAATTATATTGTGTCGCTAAATCGCTGAATTATTCATTAAACGCATAATTCTCAATTTGTGGGTTGCGAATTGCGAAGGAGTTTAGGAATAAAAGATTTTTTTTTAGAAAAAAATTTATTTTTTACCTCTTATTGTTATTATTTATACTGTTTTATTGTCATTATTTACTTTTCTTTTGCTATTTTTTACTGTTTCATTAAATTAAGTAGTGACTTGATGCTTAAAACATTCGAAAAATAAATGCCAAGTACATTAAACTTCTAATTATTTTTAACCAAACTTTCGAATTATAAACTTTTATAATCTTTTTGTATTCTTCGCGGCGCTACTGAAGGTCTCCCAGCATGACCTAGCAGGGCAATATCTGCTCGAGTTTTTTATCAATCTAATTAGGATTTTAAGTAACTGAATAAAATTTACACCAATTTTAAAAAATAAAAATTATTCGGTCTAAGTTTACTTATTTTAAAATTAGTCTCTTTTCTTTTCGGTTTGCTACTATTTGGATACTTTTTTTAATTGATGCTCTAAGTGGTGTCAAAATGAAGCTTGAGAGATGCCCTAAACAATTATTCAAGAATAATATAGTGTTAAAATGTTTAAAATTTTTCTTTTTATTTATTTTTATTTATAACAAATAAACATTTCGCAGTGAAAATTCTACTGATACAATGGAAAAATTATCTAAGCGAAGAAAATCTAACGCACCACCACTATCCAAATATTTTGATATTTATTATGAAGGTGAATTAAAGCAGGTGAAGTGTAAAATGTGCTTACAAAAAAAACTGCCGATTACGAACATTCTCAAAACGACTGACTGTAATACTACCGGTGTAAACCGTCATTTAAGAAGATACCACAAAAATGAATACGATGAAATTTATTTCAAATCATCAAAATAAAAATAGAATTGTTTTTATTTTACTATTAAAATTTTATTTTTATATTTTACTATTTATTTATTTATTTTATGTTACTTTTTATTATTTATTTATTACTATTTCACTATTTATTTTTAATTTTAATTGTTTATTTCAAATTATCAAAATAGGAATAGAATTGTTTTTATTTTACTATTAAAATTTTATTTTTATTTTTATATTTTACTATTTATTACTATTTCACTATTTATTTTTAATTTTAATTGTTTATTTCAAATTATCAAAACCACAATAATTTTATTACTGGTTGCATTCGAAAAGCGAGAACAATTCATCGTGTATTTTTCAAATTACCATAAGTTTTCACTTATGCCATAGATATGATGCTCTAAGTGGTACCAAAATGAAGCTTGAGAAATGTCTTAAGTTTTCTCTCATTGCTTACGTGGGCTAGGACGAAGATTTGAGAACGTTATTGATGATTATAGCCATTTTAACATTACAACACTTAAACTCATTTATTATTCAAATTATCATAAGTTTCCACGTATGCCAGATACGATGCTCCGGTTGGTCCCAAAATGAAGCTTGAGACTTTCCCTAACTTTTACCTTATTTGCTTAAAATAAATTTTTTTTTTAACAGGCGGAACATTATTTGGGAAACATTTGGTGCGAGACTTGGATTTACAACGACAATGCTCGTGTCAAAGACGTCGAAAGCGTTGCTTTTGCTTCCGTCCAAATCGCCATGAAAATTGGCTATTCTCGAGATATTCCACTGGCTGGAAATGTGGACTTCATGCAGATTGGACCGAGTTGACCGGATGCGTTGACAGTGAATTAAATAAAATCGAAGGCAATGTGAAGAGACGTTATTTCTACGTGACAATCATTAGAGATCCAGTGGCGAGATATCTCTCCGAATTTAAACACGTCCAAAGGGGCGCCACGTGGAAAGGGGCACGTCATTGGTGTGCCGGTGCACAAGCAAATATTCCCCAATGTTACTCGGGTCCCAATTGGGACGGAGTTACTTTAGATCAGGTACTTAATATTTTTATTAATTTCTGTTCCTTTAAATATATTTTTAAAATTTACTTCGAGAACGTATTTTATATAAACTATTTTAAGATATCTGGAATTCTTGTTTATTTAATCAGTTTTTTTTTATAATTGTGGTCGTGATGATAAAAAAAAATCTTGATAATTCTACTATCATGTCTTCATTAAGAAACTATCCTTCTTGCTCCAATGTTCTTAATTCACTCAGTTCTTCACACTTCACTTCTATTGCGAAATCCTTATCCTTATCTATTTTCTATCCCTTTCACTTGTAGATATTAAAATTTACGATGTAAATGAAATGTAGTTGTTAAGTTTCATTCATTATTCTAGAAAATTTAATAATTTCAAATCGTTAAGACATGAATTGCTTTATTTTCTTGCAGTTTATAGCTTGCCCTCATAATTTGGCAAGTAACAGACAAACAAGAATGTTAGCAGATCTTTCATTAATTGGCTGTTACAATTCATCAATGAGCAGTGCAGAGAGGGATCGAATTATGTTATTAAGTGCAAAGCATAATTTGCAATTTATGCCATTTTTCATGCTCACTGAATACCAAAAGGTAAGAATTTTTGTGATTTATTAACTAAATTTAAAATCAGATATTTAGAACTTATTTGATTTTAGGTTGGTCAATACTCATTTGAAGAGACGTTTGGAATGCGTTTTGCGGTGGCATTCGAACAGCACAATACAACATTAAGCGCATCAACATTATCAACATTAACCCCAAAGCAAATAGAATCAATTCGTCGTCTCAATAAATTAGATCTCGAATTATACGCTTACGCGAAAAAAATCGCTTTCCAACGTTTTCGTCAATTAAGCGATCGCGATCCTCATTTTATTCGAAGATTTCAACATTTGGGTGAATTACCCTCTAGGCAAAGTGTTACCGAATTTAATTGGGACTCAGTTATCGAGGAGACAACGGACAATGACTGAATGAAAACAAAAAAAATTTGAGGAAAACGAAAAAGCTAATGAGTGATTTCAATTAGAATTTTAGATTTAAGAAACAAAATTCTCTTTCATAAAGAAAACCCCTCGGCAAAATTTTCAGATGGATTCACAAATTTTACCATCTTGAAATCAATGTCTTTTGATTGTTAACCAAATACCAAAGAGTCACGAACAAATTTTTGAAAAGAGAGAAAGAGAGAAAAAAAGGAAAACCAACGTGACTAGTTGTAGTTTTATAGATAATAAGTGTTTTCTCTTTATAATTACTCTCGACACGTTATTAATTTTTCACCAATGTTCTTCCGTATACGACATATCTCTGTTCGTTTTTAGTGATAATTCCTAGGATAAATGAAATTTTTTTACCTTTTTTTTATTTTAAATTTTATCGGTTTTTTTTTACCGAAAGAAATTACGTCCGATTTACTCGTTCTACTATTATTAATTCTCACATAAATATCGAAATCGGTCTCGTTATTTTTTTATATAATCTTTTTTACGTGCCTTCATTTGAAAAAAAATGGAAAAAATCAATAGAGTCCGAAGATCTCAAAAAACCAATTTTTTTTAAAGGTTACTTTGACACACTCTGTTCCTGCTTTATTTATTTTACATTAACGTAATTTATGTAGAATGATTTTTTCTTTATTCCTATCGAGTCATAATTACGTGAGGTGCGTATATATAAAAATATAAATATAATTTTGTACATAATTTTTTTTTTTAAAAGTATATACGTAACATTTTTTTTTTCGCCTAGATAACGAATAAAATTGTTATCGAACTTACATGGAGAAAAAATGATTTTTTAAAATGCTGTTCAAAAATAGCGAAAATCATTTTTTTTAAGTGAAAAAATCATCTGTTGATAATAAATCAATCGGTAATATTTTTGCCGGTGGTCAATAAAAAAAAAAATAGTTTTTTAAAGTGGGGGTCTAAGCGAAATAAAACTATTTTCGAAATTACCTCGTACGAGACTTTTAATGCTCTGTCGGGAATATAATAATAGTTTTTACGAAAATGAAATAAAAAAAAAACATGAAAGTAAAAAATCGTAATTTTATGTTTAAGCCATAAAAAAATAACAATAAGTAGCAATGGGTTACCATAGATTTTAGAGAATCATATCGAGTCATAATGTGAATAATAATAAGAAACTATTTCGTTCAGAGTGTCAAATGAAAAATTTTGTAATTCTAAATTTCTAACTTATTTAGATTTTATATTTTTTACAAACTTTGTTTTTAAATTCTCATATTGAGAATTATTTTTATTTTCAAGTAATACGAATTTAAAAATTATAAATTTTATTTTAAACCTTTTTTTAAAACGTTTCAAAGTGTTTTTAAATGTTTTAGAAAGTTTTAAAGTGTTTTAAAATATTTTAAAAAGTTTTAAAGTGTTTTAAAATATTTTAAAATGATTTGAAAAGTTTTAAAAAGTTTAAAAAAATTTTTAATGTTTTGAAAAGTTTTAAAGTGTTTTTAAAATCTTTTTAATTGACAAAAATTTTCAGACACTCTGTTCGAATTTAGAAAAAGAAAAATCATGAATACTTTTGAGATTTGAGAATGTGTTTTGTGAATTGCGTTTAGCTTGTAAAAGAGTCACGAACAATCTTTTATTTTCTGCGCCAACAAATGAGATAATATTTACAGATTAAGGACCAAAGATAACAATAACATGCATTTTACAGCACAAAAGAAAAAAAAAGTGAAACCGAAATAAAGCAAGAATTTCTCTTCTATTTTTATTTTCTTAAAACTTACAAAGATTTTTGTCGATATTTTGTTCGCACAAAAGTAAGAAAACAAAAATGCTTTTAAAAAGTTATTGAATCAGACTGATGATCTTTTTTTTTTTGCATCCAATCAGTAAATTTTGATTATTTCGAAAAAAAGAATTTACTGTTTGAATATAAACAAATTTTCGATAAATTCATTTATATTTAAATAAATTTAAACGAAAGTTTAAAATTTAATATTAACTTTCGTCAAACAGAAGAGTGAGATAAAAAAAAGAAATTATAAATAAATAAGTAAATAACAAAACAAACAAAAATATATATACATAGAAGTATGTTTTAAGTCAACGAATAATTCATGACGGCAGCCTAATCATGTGAATCTACGGTCTAATGCCTTTATCATTTTTAAGTCACTGTAAATATCATACCAATTGCCAATTAAAACGTTCATGAATTATCATTTAATATATATATAATATAACATGTATATTTACTAAGTGTACACAAATATTGACGATAACTGAATTGCTAACACAAAAAATACAAATTATATATTATATATATAAATATATTATAGTTAATGTCAAGCTCAAAAAATGATGAAAAGTGAGAGCTGATTGTTTCTGTAGATCTTTTAATAAATCCTGCGAATTCTCAATTTGTGGAAATTACTATTTGTTTGATTATTTAATTAATAATTTTCGAATTATTAATTAGCAAAATTCCTGATTCCTAGGAAATGATAACTTTAAAATTTTCATATTGTCGTTTGTCAATTTTTTCACCCAATTTATTTTATTTTACTTTTATTGAAAAACATACTAAAAATAGATTTTTGGAACAAATTATAATCTCATTTAATAAAAAGCAATTAGAAATTCAAAAATCTGATATAAATTTAACTATCATATAAAATATTTTTGTTATTCCCTAATATGGACACATTACTTCTAAAAAAAAAAAGTAGAATCAATTTTTAAAAAATACAGATTAGACACTATATTCAGAACATTATTTAGAAGTCTGAAAGTTTTCACAATGTTGGAAAAGATAAACTTAAAAATTTCGAAAATGCAGTTTATAAATTAAAATGTAAAAGAATAAGGATTGTAAAAATAAAACAAGTGGGACTTCGTAGCATTTTTATATTTTTAGTAAAAAACATATTGTAATTTAAATGAACTCATTACGGAATTATTAATATAAAAATTATGATGTAACAATCACACACTAAGTCAAAAAAAAATTGTGACACTTTAGAATATGTTCGTTCTAAAAGCGTTTTTAGAACTTCGTCTAAATAATATTTTAGAACATTATTAGAACATTCGTCCTTAAAATGTTTTGGAACATTATTTGGACGACATGAAACGTTCTAAAAACGTTTTTGGAACGAACATGGATTTTTGCCCAGAGGGATTAAATGTTCTTATAAGATCTTCTCAAGAAGAATTTACTATACCTAGTAATAGATATCATAGGCATATTTGTAATTATTCATCATTGTAGCTTCACATTCCTTGTTACATTCACTATTTTCAAAGACGGTACCCTCTCCAATTAATTCTAAATCAACTTTTCCCATAAACTCTTCTAATGCAGGAAAACTCCTCTTCTGATCAACATAGAGTTTTATTGTCCACGTCGCAAACGGACTCAACATACAATCACCATTTGCAATTTTCCTATACGACAATGACGGCAGACTCATAATTTCATCGCAAGTTTTTGGATAATTGAAAGTCAGTACAGTCGGATTGGTATTAATTCTAAAAGTCTTATTATTAAATCTATAATGTGAGTCCCCGTGATGTGTTAAATTCACTCGAAGAGTTTTCATAATCTCGAATAATCGACCTTGTATTTCAGGATTATTTGATGTGAAAAGTATTCCCACTTTATTGAATTTCAAAGCATTGATACTACTTGTTGGTGCATAGGCAACTATCCTCGTTTCCTTACCACTCAGAATATCATTTATTACCCCTGCACTCTCATCTTTAGTCCAAACGAAAAAGGAACTCTCATCCGAACTACAACTTCCCCTGAGGAATCTCGGTGCTCTATTATTCAAAAGTTCATCCGAATTTTTGTCCTCTTGCAAAAAATTCTTAAACTTTGCGACATTGCTTATTATACCATCCACAACACTATTGATATCGTTGCGAGCAGTGTCTTTCCAACCTACTGCTTTTAGAATATCTCCACCATTCGGAAATGAGAATTGCTTAAAAGCGAATTTCCAATTTTTGTAAATATCGTTTACTTTATTGTACCAAATGGCCATTTCGAGTTGTATTAGTGCACTGGTCAAGCGATAATCTTGAGCTAATATTTTACTATATTTTGTTAAATGGAACATAGCGGTGAATTTAGCGTCTGATTTACGTTTTTGAAAATCTAAAATATTCTTGTGCATTTTGGTCAATTTTTGAAATGCGGATAGAAGTTTCTCTAGAGTCCAGTTTATTTCGTCAGTCACATTGAAGCCATCGAAAGTTTTGCTTATCGTGTGCTGTACACTTTGAATAGTATTTTCAACATTCCATTCGGAAATAATGATTTGATTTTCATTCAAATCGTTTATGTTATTATAAGCATTGTCCACGAAATCTGTCATTCGTTTCAATAAAGGTTCCGTTTCATTATAAATCTTTTCTTCGATCGTGTACAATCTATTCAAATTGTCACTACTTTTCTTCAGTGCTTGATCGAGTTCGTTAACCTTATCGACATCTTTCATGATGCTCGTGAAGGAATCAGATGTCGTTTGAAATACTTCTCCATTCACTTTCAAATATTTCAAAACATTTAATTTAATCTTATAATCATTTATTTTGCTCTTGTCCTTTTTCTTCGTCGCTTCGTCCAGGTCTTTCGTTATCTCATTTTCTTCCTTGAGATAAATTTTATTAATTCCTTCTCGATCGGTTTTGTGGTTTAATAATCCTGGTTCTGAGTCTTTTCGAAATTTGTTGCTTATCCTCTCTCGCATATTTGCAATGAATATCTTTCCAGTTTGTGATACGTTTCTCATCATTTCCGAGATGTGAAATTCGATAATTGCGTCCTTGTTTGGATCTTCTTTCTTTATGAATGTTTCAACGCCAGTGACGAGTAGTTTTAGTGATTTGGGCACCTCTGCAACTTGTGACGATAGATTAGTTTGAGTAAGTTGCGACTCTACAATTGATAGAGTGGTTATGCCGGCAGTTGCCACCAATCCAAGTGCTGGATTTATTGCACCCACTAGGACACATCCGATTTTCATTACACCGAACAATCCTTTTAGGATCATCGTTTTTTCCAGTTTCTCTCGACTCTTAATTAGTTCCTTTTCATTCTCCTTGGTGGCTCTCTTCATCTCGGAAATTTCTTCAAGAAGAGTATTTATTTCCTGATCTAAAGTTTCTTCTAAATCTCTCATGGCGGTTTGTAATTCATCTCCGATTAGATATTTCGCTTCCTCTGTTAGATCATCCAAAGAATTTAAAGTACTGTTCAGGGTCTCTAACTGTGAGCTCATTTTCTTCTGATTTTCTAATTCCTGTACTTCTTTCGTTAAATATTCAAAGCCTTTGTAAAGGTCTGACATTACGGTATATCCTCTTTTGTTAATATTTCTAAGCGTATCTGAAAAACAGAAAAATTAAATTTTAATAAGATAGAAAGATTTGCAAGGTTTGTAATCAAAGCAAAAGTATCAAATAGTATATGTATCAGATGAAAGATTACTTACCGTTGATTCGATCTTCTATTCCTAAGATAATGTCCTGGAATAATCTGCTATTTTCATTGTTATAGTTGGCTTTTATGGAATAATTATGAATTCGTTGTTGTAAAATTGTAAAGGACGGTATGAGATGATGACGCTCTTCTAAACCATAACCTTGGAGTTCCAATCCAGTAAATTCTTCAACTAAACTCAAAGTATCGTAGAGCTTTGTTATTTCTTGTCGTCTGTTTATTGAGTCGTAGAATGATTGCAATCTCCCACTAATATTGATTTTAGTTAATTCGGGTCTAGTGTATAATTTGTATTCGTTTACTGTTTGCGAAAAGCTTTGAACAATTGAAGCATTTTTAGGCACTTGGCGCATTTTTAAACTCATTCCATCTGTCCCATTATGACCGTTACTTGCATAGCTATTTTCGTACAGGATTAAAAAT